CTGCTGAAGGATAATGTTGAGTTTGATCTGAATCGGGTGATTTTATTCTCTCTCGGAAACAACCTTTTGTGATTGTATGTCTGTTTTACTCTAGTGCGCTGGTACTGGTGGTACTGGTGGTACTGGTTAGTAAGGCAGTGGATGCTGTCTGTGAGGTTGAAACGTCCTTCTGCTTTCTGGATGGATTCCTCCCAAACTGCTGGGCTGGGGGTAAACAATTATTTTTAAAACGATTATTCTGACGATTATTTTATCGAATAGTCGACTATTCTAATGACTATTTAGAAAATTAATCTAATGATTATTTTTCTATTGCACAATTAACAAAAACCAGAAAATCTCAAATAAATTCCTCAAAAAAAATTGATAAATTCTTACTGTAAGAGAATAAACGCTACAGGCCTTCCATTTTGTATAACACTGCTTTTATTGTGTTGGTTGGTTATGTTCTGGTGACGTGTAGAACTTGGGAGTGCAGGCTGCTGCCTGAGAGGTGGTAGAAGATGGAGTGTCTCCATGCTGCTTTGTTTTGGTCACTTATGTGCGTGAGGCGAGTGGTCTTACGGGTTAAACCAAACTCAGGTGATATTTTACACTAAACCGAAAACCCACAACACTATAAATGTAATAAAAGGGAGATCTACACCACAAAAAAGATGAACTCTAAACCAAAACGTAACAGCTTATCCCAACGCAAGAAGATGTTAGCGAAGATGCTAACAGTAGCTTTACCAACGTTAAGTTCAAGTTACCAAGTTTAAATAAACCAAAAACACCCGGCAGCAAACAGACCAGCACGGAGGAGAGACTGCTACCACCAAAACAGCTCTCCTCATGTCTGAAAGAAGCTCCTTAATGAAGGGAGAAGCGCTCCCGGTGATTTTCTACATCTGCGATAGACACGAAGCAGCGCATCTGACCCCGGAAGTTGTTGTCCGTTGCCGGGAGACGAAGGGGAAAAACAGGAAAATAATCTAGTAGTGGACGGACATTGTTCCGGGTTTTCGGTATTTGGCGGAGATGTTAGTGAAGGCGGAGAAGAGGGCGAACTAGAGGAAAAACAGGCAGATTCCTCCTCTATTTACAAACTCCTGGGGATGCAACAAGTGGGCGCGGTGCGTCGACTTCCGGATCTGACGTCGACAAATTTTTAGAATCGAGCCGTCGACTTCGTCGAGGCTTCACTACAGCCCTACTGTGATGTACTTAGTGAGTGACGACATGGACATCAGCATCTTTGACTCCTGTCAGGAAAACTGAGTCAGGCCTTCAGCTCAAAGCAAACAAAGAGTTAAAATCAGGAGCGAACTAAAGGAAAACTTCCTGACTTCCCCGCTTCTGTGGCTCATGAACTGAACCTGTGGCCCAAACATCTGGCTGCTTTTACTACTATGACTTTGACTTTTGTCCAGCTGTGTCAGTTTTTAATCACCTTTGCCAGAAATCCATCCCTGGAAAATCTGAGAGATAGTTCCTGCTCCAAGGACGAGGAAGTCAGTCAAGGTCAGACAGGCGAGGCAGCTTCCAACCCACTCGTTTTTCCACTTTTCCCTTTTGAAGACACTTTAAGCTTCTGCTCATTTGATGTTTATTAGGATTAATGCAGCCTTTGTCCTCTCCGTAGACATTTTTCTCTAATTTAAAGGAACATGTTATCCCCCCCCCCCCACCCCCCCAACACCCAAACTGTGATGTGTTTGGAGGGAACGTCGTTAGAAATTCCTCTGTTGGTGCAGAAACAATATTTAAAACCTGTCAAACTTTCACACACTCAGAAATCTAATTTATTACTCAATAATTTGGGTTTTATTTATATTTATTATTAGGAACTCCTTATTTATGGCTGAACCTCGTCCATAAATACTGGAGCTTTAAAAAGTGCTCGAGTTCAACAGGAGTTTTAGTGAAAGTCAGGCTAAAGCTAATTAGCTTCCTCTAATTGAAGCTAGACACACACACACACACACACACACACACACACACACACACACACGCACGCACACACACACACATTACTGGGCTTAAAAACAAACCCAAACACAAATCAGGTAAATTAAATCTCTCTAGTGGCTCAAAGCCCTCCTGATAGAGCTGAGAAAACCCAGGAGACCAAGCATCCCATAATACTCCCCTCCTTCCTATTCATTCTGCAGCACTTTGCCAAATGGGAGCCACATGTTGGAGGGTTACCGTGTAATTCAAGTGAAGGGTTCCTTCCGGCATGTGGTGACCTTTGCCCCCGGTGGAGAGTCCCTGTAGAGTCAGAGGCTGGTGGGCAGCACCAAGACATGCACCTTCAGGCTGTGTTGTGGGACCGTCTGACAGCTCGATTAGAAAGAAAAGCTCTAAATTTGACCCTTGCCAGCCACCTTGAGCCAGCTTCCAAATGTGTAAACGCTGCATCAGTCAGCAGAACTAAAATGCAGTGGTGATATTTATGCATGGAGGAGATTAACTGTCAGAAACCAGGAGTTTCTGTTTGTTTTGATTCGTGCGGCCCTCACACTTAGAAACGAGCTTCATTCTAATCCCGGTGCTGCTAAATAAATAAACACACAATGAGCTGAGACACGAATGTGTCCTCATTCTGGGAGCCACTTCCTCTCTGGGTGATCAACATTCCCAAGGAAGTCTCCAATGTGTCTCTAAATATTTGAAAGGGTTCTGAGATTTCTTGTGTGAGTTGCAGAAACTCAATCTCATGTCACTGAGATTTTAATCCTGCTCAAAGAACTTCTGTGACAGATTTCGCATTAAAATAATGTCCGAGCCGGAGTCTGGGGCCGGATGTTGATGATGAATGTGGCTGTAGATAAAAACTAGTCAGACTAATCTAAATAAGTCTTGAATTGGATATGAAATTTGAATCTGACCACACAAATGTATCACGCTGTTAGATTAACCTGGATTACTGCAGTTGGTGGTAGGAGGGCAGTCTGCCCTGAGCAGGAAATTACATTTCATAGCCAAATGTAACAGCCAGTTATAGGAGAGCCTTTCTAGCCAATCAGAGGTGAGAAAGGTGGGACTTCCGTCTAACACCTTGACCTTTTCATTTCCAGGTCAGTCCCTGACAAAATAACTTCTTTTTTTAACCATTGAGTCACAACCCCATGCGAGTGCACGTGCATATACCAATCAGACCTGACGATTGTGCATGTACATATACAGATGACTCCCAATAATTGTGCACATGCATATAGAAATAAACTGCATGTTGGGCTCCTACAAGGCTACCGACGCCTTATATCCAGGTAACAGCTCACATCCACACAACGCTGGAGGGCAAACGCAGTCTCCAGCTGGCTACAGGGCCGTATCTTCGCCATTTAAGCTGACAAAATAAAACCTAGGGATTTAGATCTTATTACTTCAGATCATCAAACACATCTTTATGCAGATGATCAAAACCAATCATTCAATTCAAGTTTATTTATATAGCGTCAAATCACGACAAGAGTCGTCTCAAGGCACTTCACATAATAAACATTCCAGTACAGGTCAGTTCATTAAGCCAATCAGAAAAAAGTTTCCTATATAAGGAACCCAGTAAATTGCATCAAGTCACTGACTAGTGTCAGTGTCTTTACAGCAATCCTCATAGTAAGCAAGCATATGGTGACAGTGGAGAGGAAAACTCCCTTTTAACAGAACGGAACCTCCAGAGGATCCTGGCTCAGTATAAGCAGCCATCCTCCACGACTCACTGGGGATCGAGAAGACAGAGCAGGCACACACACACACACACACACACGTCCTTATGTAACCTTAAGGTCACATATAAACTGTGACCTTAAGGTTAGGATTGGGGTGAGGGGAAGGTTAAGTAGTTCACAAGTAGGTCTAATGTCCGTCTCTCCACCGGCGTTGAATACCGACGCTCTGGGACGCTGTGTCAGCTGTTTGTCCCTGATCGTCGTCCCGTGACGTGCTGTGGTGCCCCGAATCGTCATATATTGAGGATTGGTCACACGCGTCATATTTTGACTTCTTGGGTGTGAGAATGTGTTGACTAAAGTGAAACCGAATGCGCACACACAGCCGAAGCAGAGCCAGTGACATCCACAACCTGGGAAGCAGTTGAAGTTTCCTGTGTGGGAATATATCTAATCTAGCTGAAATGTTCCCACACAGAAGCCTTCACCTGCTCCGTTCGGTTGCATTCATTTTTTTCTGCTGGAAATGGCTGCAGGCAGTGAAACGGAAGGCAAAAACTCTGGAGCAACCCGGGACTCTGTCCCCTAGCCAATCAGCAGCCGATCCTTGCTGTGCATTAGTCTTACGGTCATCTAACAGAAATGTCTCCCAGCTGTCATTAAAAAGGTGGAAGCAGACTGCAGCGCCAGGCATGTCAGCTCAGTTTTTCTAAGTCCAACAGGTGGCGGCTCGCCACTCTGAAGTTGCAAGTGCAACATTCTGGCCACAGAGGGCGGAGGGGATCTGAGTGACTTTTCCTTAACCCTATAAAAGGTCACTTTAGCGCATACTTGCTCAAGAAAATGATTTAAAAACAGGAACAAGTAGTGTAGCGTGGCTTTAAGTCTTGAGCTGAGTTCACCAGAGACACTTTGCCTCCGTGAGGATGGAGGAAATCGACCATTTTTGGGTCTAATTATCCTTAAAATGATTGCTGGAAGTTTCATGCCAGATTTTGAACTGACTGCGTTTTATTTTGAGGAATGCTGGGAAACAGAAGCCTGGAAAACGACATTAATCTAAAATATTTGTGTAAATATTCTACGCTACAGCTGCAACCTGATCACAACACCAGATTAAAACAAAAGTCTGAAAGTTTTCTTGGAAGCAGGACTAAATCAGACGTGCTGCAGTTATTTAGCCATCAATCCAGTAACTTTCAAACATTCTGCGAATCTCCAGAGAACAATAAAAGCTGGAGCGAGGGAGGGGGCGTTAGCACCTGGATGGGGGTGGGGGGTGGGGGGGTGCAGAGGCCTTTTAAAACACCATAATATTAATCCAAGTTCATCCATGGCCGTTTTTTAACAGAACCGAGAGGCTGCCGTCGTTTTATAAACTATAATAAAAACTAAAATAAATCACATCACATTTCTTTACTCTGGAGGAAGCACCTTTTTGTTTTGTTTATATTATTTCATGTGAAGTGAAACCCTAACACTAACCATAACCCTAACCCTGACCCTAACCCTAATGTAGAAATGAGTTCACCTTTTTCTGAACAATTACAGAGCATCAAGCTGGTTTATGATAATAAGTTATAGATGAGATTTGATCAGATACTCTGTGTTTAAAGAATAAAACTCATTTCAGCTGCTGGGAAAAGATCATTTTCTACAAGGAAAAGATGAATTATTCCATCATGGAGCCCCGGAACGCTGGGACGACTTCATGCCGAGTTCAGCCGATCGTCGCCACGTATAATCTACGTGTTTCAGGCCTTTTCCCACACAAAAATCCTCAGCAGTCTTTGGAAAACCATAAAACTTCCTTCTTTACTTCCAGCCAATTAGCATTGTTCCCTTTCATCCAGGGCGACTCGGTGAAGCTCGGAAAACACTTGACTTTTCCAGTGGTTTTATGTGGACTGGCCTCTTAGAAAGAGTGGCTGTGTTTTAGTCTCTAGTCTGGGCGCAGGTCGCCGTCCGGATGCATCCTCATATCCGTTTGAGGTTGGTTTGGAGTTTTGGAGCATTGTCAGGAACGGGATTTTCCTTCTAAGCATCTAGTTTTTGTTTGAGTTGAAAGGATTGAGTGAATGTTTGGTTTCCTGCCACTGAGCTGGTTGTCAGTAATGCACCTCTGTCCTGTCTCTTTATTCCGACTCCATCATTCATGATTGTTTGTAGAATGTTCTCTTTCCTGTTTGGACCAATTGTCTTGCACCACTTTTTCAGGGTCCTCCTGGACGAGCCGGCTTTCCGGTAACTGTCTGAACTTATGTCTGTGTGTCTTGCATGAGTTGGTCTCCACTGCCGTGCTGATCTCTGCCTGCCCTCTGCTCACAAACTCATCAACAGTAGTCCACAAACAACACGTTAGAATATGAAGCAAAGTCGTGCAACTTGTTAGAAAAGCACTTGTCGCATAGACTAATGAGCAATTCCTCATCACCTGGATTAGGATTAGGCTTTTTGGATCTTTGGACAGAATTTATCCAGTGATTCTGTATTTTTCTCACAGACGTCTGATACTCTAACTCACGTGTAAAGTTTGATCTTCTGTATATTTCAAACATTCAGATTCACCAGGTAGACAACAACGTCACATTTAAGTCTCAGACCTTTCATGTATTTTTACTAAAATATTACAGTTCGCTAATATCATTAAAAGGTGTGCTGAGGTTAGGACCCAGACGCAGGAGAGCAGCTGCAGCCAGATGAAGTTAAATGATGGTTTATTAACTCCTTCACTGCCATTGACGACTAAAGTTGTCATGTGTATGTTTTTACTGTGTGGGCGTCGGACGAGCCCCCGCACCGTGAGAACAAACATCTCAGCTCTGAAGCCGATCTTCATCTGCATACGTCACACATCACGTGATCAGGAAGCAGAACATCCATGTGTTAGGAGATCGTTTCGGGCCGCTGCTGTAAAAAAAAGTGAGGCGTGAACCAGAAAAGTGTCTGCCGATCACAATTCAACAACGGATTATGAAAGAACGGATAACGCTCGAAACACGCAGATTCTTCCTGATATAAGAGGTGAGTCTCCGCTTTGTTTTGTTAGTTTTGGCGTCGACGTCATCTAAGCGTGCAACTTTCTGTGACACTTAAAAAAAACAGTAAAAACATCGAGAAACGCTGGCAGCGAATGAGTTAAATGTGTCCATCACTGAAAATAAAACATTTTTAATGATTATCATTCTATTTCTGATTCTAACGGGTCACTCTGAGGCTGAACATGAAAATAGTCTCCTACACCTATCTCCTGCATTAGCTTCTGACAGAAAAGAGACGGTGAAACTCTAGGATTAGAAAAGCCAGACAGATCTATGCCACACTGTCACTTAAAGGGATATTCCACCCCTAAGTGAAAATGTGTCTATTTCTGTATTCTCCAGTTAGATACGTGAGAAAAAAGCATTTTGTAAGAAAATGAAGAAAATAAAAGTTTTACAAGTCTTACAGCTTCTCTTCTTGGCTTTGGTACGAGACGCCTCGGTCAGCTATGAACGCAGGCTCTAAACCTTTAAAAGTCACTTTTATCACATTTATGGAATAAATTATTACGTCTACAATGTTTTACCATAAATCCCAACAATGCATTTGCAAATATACATTTCGGGCATGTTCTGCTGGCAGGAGGCCCCGTGTCGACCCAGGACACGTTGGAGAGGTTACATCTCCAATCTAGTCTGGGAACACCTTGTGGTCCTGCCAGAGGAGCTGGTGGAGGTGGTTGGGGAGAGGACGGTCTGGAGCTCCCTAGTTGGGATGCCGCCTCCGCGACCCGGACCCGGATAGGCAGAGGAAGATGACGACGACATTTAATTAAAGAATATCCAAATCTAAATGTTTAGAATAAGTGTTTTTATAAACGTGGAGGCTTCTGTCAATGCAGCTCAGGATAGGTGTGTGTGTGTGTGTGTGTGTGTGTGTGTGTGTGTGTGTGTGTGTGTGTGTGTGTGTGTGTGTGTGTGTGTGTGTGTGTGTGTGTGTGTATTCAGACATAATTGACTTACAGAAGCAGAGTTGGCTAACATCTGGGTTCTTCCTGAAGACTGATTCATGATCCGTGCTTCGACATACTAAATATTTACCGTAATTTCCGGACTATAGAGTGCACGTCAATATAAGCCGCTCCGGGCTAAAAGCCGCAGATATCTACTGAATTGAAAACGTAGTTTAACTGAACGTAGCTGAACTGATCAGTATCAAACAAAACAGAAAATTTATTGATTAGTTTATTCATCTTCCTCCTGCGCACTGAAACCACTGAAGTCATCTTCTGTGTCGCAGTTGAACAGCCTCAGAAGAGCTTCTCACACACCTTTTCTGTGGTGATGTCAGTGTCGCTCTCCGTGTTGCTGTCATCATCCCGGGGTGAAGCTGGGAAAACAAGCAGCGCCGTTTTACTGTGAAAAAAAATCCTCCTGGGTGCTTTCCGTAGCACTCCTTTAACCATTCCTCCATTAGACTTTCCAACATCCATCGTGTCTGGTTGACTAAAGCTGCACCTCATTATAAGCTGCATGGTTCAAAGCGTGGGAAAAGTAGTGGCTTATTGTCCGGAAAATACGGTAGTTCAAAACATTCAGGTGCTTTTTCTGACTTGATTTTAAATATTTAGTCAAACTGAATTTAATTCTAAACAAGTTTAAGATTTGAATGTAGTCAGTTTATTCTAAAACTAAGGGTGAGGATCCAAACGCAGGTGAGTAAGCTTCTGGGAGGCTGCGGAGAAGGTAAAAGTCTCGTTTGTGAAAGGGGTCAGGATCAGCAGGAGTGAACGACGGCAAACAGAACCGAACAAGCAGGGTTAGATACATGAAGATAATCAGAGACAGCTGGGTGGAAACCATCAAGGGCAGGTGACATCAGGTACCAGGACGGGGCTGGGGAACAGATCCGGACAAACGTGTTCAACTTGAAATTTAGATTTAATCATAGTTTTAACATTTTTGACTGAAGTATTATTAATAATTACATTTAGATTCATCCTTCTAGCCTTTTGTTCTGTGGACCAGATGCTTTGTTGGACCGGGTCGAGTTGAAGCTGTGTTTGACTCTAGTCACTTTAGTCGCTCTGAAAAAAAATGCCTCTGTTTTGTCTTCACACACCTTTTTGTGCAACCCTGCTCACTGTTTGAGTTAACATCACTGTCACATGTTTATTCTAATACTAACAAACTGCTTGTTTTGAGCATCAGATACAACAAGTCTGTTTTAATTTTATTTTATTATTTCTGTAAAATCAGATTCTTTCCATCACTGGAGAGGAAATCCACATGGCAACAGAAGGGGAAGAAAACATGAGATCATGGATTTAATGAGGATGTGGGTTTTGGAAGGAGGGTCTTTATAATCAGCAATCAGTGTTATTTCTTATATGTGGTTATTTCAGAGCCTGGTGTCTCATTTATCAAACATTGCGTAGAATCCTTACTAAAACCGTACTTAAGCTCAGCAAAAAACATATACTTACGCCAAGCAGGTTTGTGATCTATCAAACATGGAGTACGCATAGCTGCACGCAATCTCCGCTTCATAAATCAGGGACTATCTAGAAAGGTTCTCAGCTGCTTTTTAGTCACATCCTGCCCTCAATGCAAAGTGCCTTGTGGATCTCATGCATATACATAAGCCGGCTGTTGCAGCGCTCCACCAATGACATGGGGACCGTAGATCAAGGCAGATCAAGGAAGCGCTATTTCACAGAAGCAGAAGTTGAGGTACTTGTGGGTGAGGTGGAGAAATGAAAGGAAGTTCCTTTGCAACACAAATAAGAGAAAATCCACGGAGTGGCACAGCGTTGCTGAAGCCGTCAATGTTGTGAACTCTTCAGAGAGATCTGTGGCGGATATAGAAAATGTTCCAATCAGGATTCGATCCCCAGACTCCCAGGTGAAAGTCACACGCACTAACCAGCCACCCAAATGGAGATCTTCCTCGTACAAGTAGCCAGGGCGCATGATCACACACACTGTCACAGACACATGACATTCTGTCTCAATCTCTCCCCCTGCTGATATTCAGCATTCTGTATTCTGGCTTCAGGCTGTGTGTGTGTGTGTGTGTGTGTGTGTGTGTGTGTGTGTGTGTGTGTGTGTGTGTGTGTGTGTGTGTGTGTGTGTGTGTGTGTGTGTGTGTGTGTGTGTGTGTGTGTGTGTGTGTGTGCGTGTGGGGGGTCTTGTTCTGTGTGAAAACGAAGCGGTACAAGTGATAATGCTGCAGGATTTCATAATTGTATCTTCTCAGCAGCAGCACTGCAGGTGCTCTCCATGTCCAACATGTGTGTAAGCCAGGTCCTTAGTCAACTTAAAGTTGCGCACATTTTTCCGCTAAGTTTTCTTTCATAAATCCCAAAGTTTGCTTGGACCCCTTTTTGTGTGTAAGCAAGCTTGATAAATGAGGTCCCAGGCTTGTTAGTCTTCTAGAGCCAGAGAAGATTTGCTGCTCCATCATGATGGATGATCTCTGCTCTTCACGCGTTTAACCAGCAGACAGAACTTCTACTGCTCCACCTGCTCCCAGATTCAGCATCCTCTATCGGCTCAGATAAAAAAAACTATTTATTTGTTCATGATCAGATATTAAAGCAACACGATGCAGCTTCTTTCAGATACAGAGGGCTTGACTCGTAGAGCGAACATCAGGATGAATCAGGCTTTTACCTGCAGAATGATTTTAAATGTTAGTCTGAATAAAGTCTGAAAACTGGTGGCTGATGTTGTGGATCTGAAATCGTTCAGCAGTGCGGGAAGCATTTAGTGGTTTCAGCAAATAATCACGTTGAGTGCTTTAGTTAAATGGACCTTTGGCGGTTCCAGATCCTCCAGGGTTAAATCAGGACCTTGGACAGAGCATCAAAGAGTGCCGCTCTGCGAGTCTTTAATAACTTCACCACAAACTAACGAGAGAGCAGAAATGCCTCACATCTGATGGAGCTGACTCCACACACCAGGGCAGAATCAGAGAAACCCGCTTCTAACCATCCTTCACACAGAAATGTGTTTGTATTGTTGCTGCTGCTTCGGCAATCTCTGCTTTTGTCTGATCTGTGAAAGAAGAACCACTCCTAACTGTCTCTGTCATGCCGACCATCACTAACCCTGCTGCTCCTTCAAAGGATACCATGACACCAGCTCATTTACAAGCTCTGATTATCCTGCATGGACGTCTGATTCCCAGATTTAAAACATTTCTAACCGATCCGTGTTCCTCTTGTGTCCCGTGACTTTTATCATTAAAACCCACCAGAGATCTGATTGAATTAAAAACTCCATTTCGATGACATGAAGCTTGTAAATGAGTCGGAGCCTGAGGATCACTGTGTCCTTTTAGGACTCGTCCTGTAGTTGAACGGTCTTACTGATAACATATTCCTAACCTATAGGGGGACAAAGGAAGTATGGGAATTCCTGGAAGAATGGTGAGTGACGAGCTCGGAAGGGCATTCTAAATTTGAACATCTTAGGTGTGTTCATGCTGTGTCGTGGTTCTAATTCCATGTTGTCGTTCTTTTGAAAACACAGAAACAGTTTCGTTACCTGTTTTGTCGCTACGTTTCGTCTGCAGCCGGCCGTCTGCAGCCGCAGACGAAACGTAGCGACAAAACAGGTAACAAAACTGTTTCTGTGTTTTAAAAAGAACGACAGCATGGAATCAGGGCATTCTAAAGCATTACCAACATAGATTTAAAACACGTGAATGAAAGTGTGTGATATAAAGAGTAAAAGACGAGGAACAACATCAATGAGAAGCTTGTAGTCTGACCCCGGCTTTCCACCGGAGCCGTCAGCAGCACGTTACTGCAGCAGCACGTCATAGCTGCTGATAGGAACCGCTGTGGTCAACAGAACCTTTTCCACTGGAGCCGTCAGCAGCGCGAGTCAGCCACGTCTCAGGAGCAGCATGTCGCGGCCTTTACGCGCCGGTTCTATTTTCTACGCGCGACGCCTCTGAAACGGGTCAAGTTCGACATTTTTGGGGGAAGGAATGACAGGAAATCAGACGCGGAAATGGAGAGAAGCTACAGAGATTTTCAGAATAAAGAACGTACTGCCTTCCGGTTGCTTTACTTTTAAAAAAATGTTACTAACTGTGCGGCCCCGTGAGAAGTTATCACCTAGCTAGCGGTCTCCTTTGTTTTTCAGGTCCGTATTGGTGATTATAAAACGGACAGAACATAAAACACAAACCATGTTGTAGTTTTCTCCTGCTTGTTGTTGTGTTTACTGACGAAGTCACTCGTGTGACTTCGTGCTCTGTCGGTGGCAGCTGCTCCCCTGCTGCTTCGCGTCTCGTGGGAAGGGCCAAAGGGCAAGACGTGCTGCTGCAGTAACGTGCTGCTGACGGCTCCCGTGGAAACCCGGGGTGATGCAGACAAACTAGAGTTTATTTATTAATCACATGAGGATGCCTGGAAATCTGAGCATGGAATAATAATAACAAATAAACGAATAATAAAAAGTAAGCTAACTGACAGAAGTAAAAGCAACACATAAAACTTAAGTCATGTAGAAATATTTGTGACAAATATTCTAATTGGTGTTCCACATGTTGACCCCACATAAATATTTAGCTGTTTAGTTTTAAATTAAATTTTTCCACGCATGGTTTTATATTAAAGGTACTGAAACATCAACGAAGATGCATTCAGAAACATTCTTAGTTACTGTTTCTCTATTTTACTGCTTTAAACACTTTGATTTGTAAATAGTTGATTTAGTGAAAAGATTGTAGGATTTAAAACCACATTTTCCTTGTTGAATGTCGGCCGCTTGGGGAGTTTATCGTACCAACAGTCTGTGCCATCTCCCATTGGGAGCCTAAGGCTCCTCCCCCTCCAGCCGAGGTCCCTGAACGGGACTGTAGTGGCGCTTACACATTAACGTTGGTACGGGCCCATACAGTACTGAACGGCACCGGAATTTGGTTTCACACACAGGTCCGATTTGCGTTTTCTGTCCTGAGGCGACTCTTTTTCTCAGACCTTCTCCCCAGCGTTCAGACTGGGACCGAGGCGACACTACGGACTGATTGGCCAGCTGAAATTACGTCTACCGCCTCCGATCTGTGAGGAGAATGAGCCAGCGGGGGGTTTCCCGCATGCGCGATTCGTTTTCATGCTGTTGAGTAAACTTCTGTCTGTAGCACGGAGCCGCCGTTAAGTGTGGGAATGGGAGAAAAGAATAGCTTTGTGTGTGTGTGTGTGTGTGTGTGTGTGTGTGTGTGTGTGTGTGTGTGTGTGTGTGTGTGTGTGTGTGTGTGTGTGTGAGAGTGTGTGTGTGTTTGTCACAATATTATGAGGACACACAGGCGCGTTGCAAGCTTTTCAAAAGTGTGGGGGATGGTGTCTCCCGCGCATAATTCACAGTAACAAAGTCCATCCAAAAAGATGTATAAACAGAACGGGAAGAGCTGATCTTCCAAACAACAGAGCCCAAGTTTTCTCCATCAACACCAACCAATTTCAGCAATAAGCTGTTTAATCAAAAGGACGTAAAAAGACACTAAATACGCATTTAGAGAAAAACACACAGTAGCGACAATCCAATATCCTATCCACAGAATCTGCTGTTTAAATTAAAGCCCAGGCTCTTCTATTTCCAACAATATTGATGCACTCTACTTGCAAAATTCACAGAGCCAGCAGCTAACAAACCACATCTCATTTCATGACGTGAAAAGCGTAAATTCAGTCTTTCCTTTGTCGATTCATGGTCATAATCCATGTTATAGTAAAAACAGTCCAATCCCTTTGTGTAATCCATCTTCACAACATCACACAAAGCTGATTCGTGGCTGTTTTAGCTTGCGTCCATCCAACGCCAAAGACCCAAAACGTGGCCAAATATATATGTATATATCAAAAGCAAGCCATTCTATTGGCTCAGAGGTTTCCTAACTAACCTGAATGACTTCAATAATCCAACGGCGAGGTCCGGAGAAACTCTCCTGAATAAACTGTAGATCCAGCCCAGTCCACCAGCGCACAGGTGTACTCAGGTAGAGGCGGGGCGGTTTCGACAAACTTCATTTGTCACTGAATGTTAACAAACCTGGCCTTTAAAGTTGGACAGCAAAAACTATTCCGTAGAAGGAGCGTTCAATTATTCCTTTTGCGAAATGGCTGGAAAAGTGTGGGTGTTGAAACCCCCCACATCCCCCTCGGATGCGACGCTCATGTGGTTCAGAGTCTCCAAATGCAACACAGCTCATCTCCGCCTTTGGTTTACCTTATGGAGCGGACTTTCCCGCGTGTATTAAGCCCCGCCCACAGGCTCGGGGATTTCCGCGTTCTTGAGAAGTCCCTCAGATTTATATGTGAACACGACACCGCCGTACCAGCCCAAACTCACGCCATCCAGCCCGACCAAACGCCAGCCGTGCCGACGCTAATGTGTAAGCGCCAAAAGTTATTTTTCTGGTCCTTGTTGCCTTATGCCCTGAATCACACACGTTGCACTTCAGTTTAAATGAAAAATATTAATCATGTTTTAACTATGTCACGTAATCTGAGCTTTATTAGTTTGTAACAATATTAATTAAAACAGACATGTGGTGTATGACATCACAGCAGGATCTCTTCTCCCCCGGCGTGCTGTGCTACTCACCACACGACCACATTTATGCTGGTTTTCACCACCTTTAATGCTCCTTTTGTCGTCCTAGAAGAAGGATGTGAAGCTCGCTGAACTCAGACATTTTATTCTTCTCCATGTCTGGTTTGATGACATCACTTTGGTGAGACGAGCAGTTGGGAATCCGCGACGTTTATTCACGCAAAACCTGAAATAACTTTTGCCGCCTGTCAAAAAGAAATGCTATCTTGGCATCAAAATGTGTTTTTAAAATTCACGGACTCCATGTGTGAAATCCACGGAACGCATCAGACGGTATCAGAAAGTAGCTTTTAACGGCTCAGAGACGCCCATAAATGTTGTCCCAGTAATGCTAACCAGAGACCAATCAAGCTGCTACTAATGCTAGCTGCCATAGCTAACATCCTTGTTGGATGAATTCCAGGATGCACTGGGAATATCCAGACTGTGAATGAATTATAGATGAATCCATTACCTGTTGCGTTATACGGACAGCTTCAGACGCAGAGCCATCAGAGTAAATCAGCCAATCATCTCATTTAGTATTCATGTCTGTCCTACATCTCAAGTCTGAGAGGAACTCCTTTGAGGACGTGAATGTGTTTAGTTTGGACAGAAATGATAAATGGGTCAAAAGAGAAACTAAAGAAACTGTCAGGGCCCAAAGAGAAAGTCTAACATCTAGGTGGAAGAGTTCAGTGGTTCAGAGGCAGGATGGTGATCTGAACATTTCACACCTGGACCAGGAGGACGTGTCCTAAGCTGACCTGATGCTAGATGCTGTTTACATCCTAAAACCTAAAAACATCTTCATTGTAGTTAAAATTACATCTGAATTATTTTATAGTCCGAATGTCTTTAAAGATCATCTTCACTGAAAACCACCTTTTAATGATTGTCTCAGATTCTAACAGGTCACTCTTGAGTGTTTCATGCAGGCTGAACATGAAAATAGTCTCCTACACCTTTCTCCTGCATTAGCTTCTGATAGAAAACAGACGGTGAAACTCTAGAATTAGAAAAGCCTGACAGATCTACGTCACACTGTCACTAACATTCATGGACTCACCCATCTTAACTCATGACGGGGAAGGCTGTTGTTGGTTTAACGTCCAGGAAACAGCAGAGAGCATCTCTGCTAGTTGACGCTAACCGTTAGCATTAGCAACTCCGCCACACAGCAGAACTCCTCCAGGCTTGTGTTATTAGTGCAGATAAAACATCAACGTTGCAGAGCAAACAGAGTCGGTGGTAGAGTCGTGTTGCTGTCAGCCAATCAGAGGAGCGACGTCCAAATCTTGCCGTCACTTTCTCCTCCACTTAATTTCTCCGCGCTGAAACAGACGCACCAAAGCTTTTTTCCCAGAGTGCGACTCCCAAGGCATTCGTTCCTACTAGAGACCACTGCAGATGTACTAAAAATCACTTGTTAGTCGCTTTGGACAAAAGCGTCTGCTAAATACATAAACATAAACATAATAAACATAAACACAAAAACATGAGTGAAGGTGACCATTAAGAGGTTAAATAAACATGTCAGACTCAGTGTCTGTACCTGCAAATTTTATTTATATATAAAATATGCTTCTTCCACCCAAAAAGTCCTATTCAATCATGTGATCAATCACGTGATCAGATAAGGTTTTTCATTCATCCTGAGATTTAATAACTTTTCCTTCATGCTTCGTCTTCAGCTGATGCGTCAGGTCAAAGTGGGTTTCGGGTCAGATAAAATGTTTGTGAATGCATGAGATAACTTCTTCATAATCACACTCATTAAGTAATTAGAGTACTTCAGGTACGATTGAGCTGTGTTGTTATAATGATGTCATGATGCCTCCCCCCCGCTGCATGCCCTGATCCCTCCTGCCTCTAACACGACCTCCTCTCTTCTTCTGTCTCTTCTCCCTTCACACCTGTTTGCATGTGTCTGCCGTGACTCATCCCAGGCCTTAAAAGGACCAGCAGGGGAGAAGGTAAGTTTAGGATTGTGTCGCCTAGCAGCACATCTAAATATTCACACGTCAATAACATTCTGCAACCTGCTGAAATCGTCATCCTCTGACATGTTTACCTGAGCCGCCTCGTTCCTGCGCAAGAGGAAAAGTGAACTTTGTCTCTGCTGAAGGACATTTTAAACGTCCGGCTGTAACGAGTGGCTGGGTTGTGGTGCTCAGACGTGCAGCGTGATGTTTGCAGGTCGCTTCTGATTTATATCACGAGTTTTAAGTCAGAAAATGAGCTATTTTCCACTCTGGTTGGATTTCGTTTTAAACCGTGAAACAGAATAGCGTCCATTTGTCACATAAGAGTCAGAAGGTCTAAACTTCCCAAAGAAAACCAGACATGAAGCGAGCAGAACTCTGTTGTGATGATTGTGTTTAACTGGGGAGCTGAGCAGCCGCCAGCTGCAGGGAAAAGGACGTTTATTTGCCTCAAGGTGAATAAAACAAACAGCACAGCTTTAAGTGTTAGCTCCAGGACCTTCGCCTGGTTTTATCGCTCAGGTGAGTCAACAAAAACACGACAAACATGTAATAAATCAGCCTGTATACACGCTGCTCTAAGCAATCGCCTTTACTCACATCCATAAAGTATTTTGTGAAATTTGTAGCTAAAGGTCACACTGAGTTTATTCAAAAAATGCAGTTTTTGAATCCCACCATTTCTCTGTAGGATGAGTGTTTTTGTCTTCGTTCAGCCCGAGTGAGAGTTGGTTTTGTCCGTCTGACGGGGTTCTGACGGCTGCTGGACGCATCCAGAACTGAAACGTTCTGTTCTGGAGTGGCTTGTTGTAGATGAAGCTCTCTGCTGGGCCCGACCCGGACGGGACCACCGGCAGGAACATGTTGGATCAGAACCTCCTGGGCTGTTCTCCTCCTGGTTTGATGGTTTCTGGTGGGATCAGGGCCCGTCTCCTGCAGGCCAAAAGGTTCTCTGGGAGCCTGGCACACACTATAAGGAAAACGTTCCCAGAGCTCTTAAACAGATGGATTGTCAGGGTTCAGCTGGCAAACCGAGCCAGACGGAGAGAGAATGCAGGAGTACGTGATTGACTGGAAATATAAACCAAAAGGGGAGAAAGTCACAGGAGATGGAGAATTTTTATAAGCCTGAGAAATTCTCATCTTAAAGGAAATGAGATCTGCATAGTTTAGTCTGCCGGGGACTGGCAGCCCGTGTCTGAGTGTTTTCTCGGAGTGGGTCCTGGTTTTAGGTGAGTTCCTGATGCTGCCTTGCTGCCTTGGCCTCACAAGTCAAGAAATCCAATCTCTGCATAGATGCATCTGCAGATCTTCACTTGTCTGCTCCATTAAACTGTGGAAAAGCAGAGAAGTAACTCAGAGTGGTTCCTCCTGTCATCTTCTTCCTGTTATTATCTACCCTACCACCAAACCAAGCATGAGAACATCTGAGGAACATTTAGCATCACTTTGGTTTGATGGATGACGAACGCCGTCGCATTTCTCCTTCTGAGAGAGAGAGCAGCTAATTAGAGAACGTGCTGGAAACCCGAGTCGGGAACGTCTGGCTTCAGTGGGAATGCTGCAGCGGCACACCGCTGTTCACCGAGCAGGAGCCCAGAGGAACTCCTCCGTTTACACGTCAGAAATGCTGACCTGGTGAGGCTAACCCCAGCCCTGAGGGGCACGGGTGTGACCCGGGCTCGCTAACCTGAGTTTGACTCCAGCAAGTTAAAAGGATGGAACAATTCAATTCAATTCAAAAATACTTTATTAATCCCAGAGGGAAACTGATTAAACAGGTGGAAAAAAGGACTGAAGACAGGGACAGAGACCAGGGACAATGAGGACACCTTCACTGAGCTGCATTCACAACCACAACACACATCAGATGGACCATAACCTGAATGAGCTGGCATGCCTAACCAGCTGGTTACTAGTTGGTGATGTTGGCATGTGAGACAAGACCACCCAGGTACCAGACTACAGCAGGTGACCCAGAACCAGAACCAGGACTCTGCTGCTGCTTTATTTTCTCCAACGCTGAATCTTCTAAAGCTGGATTCGTCTCTCGTTTCATTTCTGTTCTATGACTCGACTTATTGTGCAGCAAAAATCTCCAAACTGACACCAAAGTCAGCATGAAGAGGGTTTGTCCTGTTTCAGGTTTGAGCTGCAGCTTGACCAGCATGTTGGTGACTAACTAGTATCCAACCCTGCAGATTATGACCTGGTTGCTAAGGCAACACAAGCTTTAGCTAAAGCCCGGCTTCAGACAAAGGCATGAATGCGTTGGTTTCTCTGTGGACATTTGTCCTCCCGTCCCAGCTCCTCTGAGTGTCTGTCTTTGTCCCCAGGGGGCACCAGGTGAGCCCGGTCTGTCCATCATTGGACCAAGAGGACCTCCTGTAAGTATCTCTACCTGCTTCGGGGGTTATGGGATGTCTGTGTTTGTTTAAAAGAGTGAATGTCCTGTAGCAGGAGCAGCTACCAGGTAATCCAGACTACAGAAAACCCACTTAACACGTTTCTTTTCTCTTTAGCTCCACAATAATAATCTGATATAAAAATTCCTAGAGTAGGGAAAAGCATCCAGCCGACGTAGGTGGAGCGCACATCTGTTTTTCTAATGGGCATTAGCGGCCTGTGCCCACTCTTCCTGGATGGTAACAGGCAGACTTAATAAATAACACGCAGCCGGGACGCTTTCACAGTAGGAGCCGAGCTCCAGTCAGTCACAAGCAGCCAGAGCAGGAGAGGCTGACATCAGAGACTCCAGTCTGACCTGGGGAGGAAGCAAGGCACCTCATTCAGGTGAGAGGTGGAGAAAATGAAAGGAAATGACTAGTTGTGCCAGCCAAGGGCCTCGACTTCTTCTGCTTTGTTGTCATGTCATCAGGCTGGATGGAAGGATGAATGTTTCAGAAACACAGCAGGTCTCGTGGCTCACTTAAAGCTCGAGAATGAGACGAAAAGCACATTTTAAGTCCTGAAATCCAGTTATTCAGTTTGCTTCCTGCTCTGCTTCCACTGGTTGGATCTGAAGTCACAAGTCGCTAAAATAAAGGTCTGATCTGCTGCCATGAAGCTGTTTTAAACCCTAACCCTCAGAGGTTTGTTTTTCTCTTCAGGGACAACCCGGAACTAGAGGATTCCCGGGATTTCCAGTAAGTCAGGCATGATTAAACGATCCCTGCTCACTAAACTTTACTACATCTCTGTTTATGTCCAATTGACTTTAACATTTTTATTCTTCTGGTTAATATTTGTTATTCTTTATTCTGTTTAATTTTGTTTTTTATAGGGTCCCATCGGGTTGGACGGCAAGCCAGTGAGTTCAATAAAGATTGTGTAAATAAAAAAAGTGTTTAATCAGAGCCCAAAGTGTAGTTTCCATCATAATAACAATATCGATAGTTTACCATTAACACCCCCGCTGTATTCAGGATGATTCAAAGGTCAGGTTAAAGACCAAGTTCACTGAGAAAGCCTTTTTAGTTGTTATCTTTGATGATGGGTCACTGAGTGTTTCATGCAGGCTGAACACGAAAATAGTCTCCTACACCGATCTCCTGCAGTAGCTTCTGATAGAAAACAGACGGTGAAACTCTAGGATTAGTAAAGCCTGACAGATCTACGTCCCACTGTCTGACTAACATTCATGGACTCACCCATCCTGACTCATAACGGGGAAGGCTGCTGTTGGTTTAGCGTCCAGGAAACAGCAGAGAACACCTCGGCTAGTAAAAGCTAACTGTTAGCATTAGCAACTCCGCCACACAGCAGAACTCCTCCAGGCTTGTGTTATCTGTGGAGATAAAACATCAACGTTGCAGAGCAAACAGAGTCAGTGGTAGAGTCGTGCTGCTGTTAGCCAATCAGAGGAGAGATGTCCACATATCAGGAAGTAAGACTCCAGATCCAGTCGTCTTCTGGACCCCTCTCCTCCGACTAGCTTCTGAAACAGGAGCGTCAGAACTTTTTCCCCACAGATGTTGACTTGTAAGGCATTCACTTATGCTGGAGACCTCTGTAGATGTAATGAAAAAACAAGTGAACTTGGTCTTTAACAGTTTATTTTTACAGAAGCTCCTTTATAACACCTGGAGAGTTCTGATTGGTCAATTTCACAGCAGCTGACTGTCCTAATCTTCACACAGGGACTAAACGGACAGAAGGGAGATGCGGTGAGTCTTCCTTAAATATGAAGCTTCTGTTTGATAAGCTTACGGGTTAAAATCTTTAGCAAAATTCAGAACTTGTGACTTTAATCAGTTTTCCCAGAAATAAAACTAAAAATGACCACAGGGCATCTAAATGACTCACGTCAATGGGTTAGGATTAGGGTTATAATCCTGTTGTTGAGACAGATTATCCTAGATACTAAAAACCAAGGTCTATTTAGCATTAAACCCTCCAACAGCAGCGTAGCAGCACTCATCACAATAACTAATATGTATAACACTAATGATCTCATTTTACTTTTATTAAACTGATTTTTATCTAAATTAAATCATAAATGAGTTTATTTGGGACTGTCTGGTAGCTGGGATGGAAGCTGGTCTGACTGATGTTAGAGGAGCAGATCTACATCCATCCTGAAGCTTTACAAAGTGGCTTTGTACTGGTTTAGTCTGTGTGGTCACCAGCATGAGCTGGGCTGGATGTGTCCTACTGGGTCCTTTTCCAGACTCCATTAATCAAGCTGAGGCTGCTCTTTGACAGCTCCTTAAATCCAGCTTTCCGAGCATCTGAAGGGGAAGCTAACAGAGCACCATCACCTAAAGCGGAAAAGACTTCTGTAGCGTTTCATTTATCAGTGGTTCCTGTCAGGTTGAACTGTGGTCAGGAATCTTTGGTTTGTGATGAAAAAATGAAACCACATTTACGGGTGTGTTTTCTGCAGGGTCAACGTGGTCCTAAAGGAATGCCAGTAAGTTTCAGGAGTCGTGGTTCTGTCCAGCGTACCTCCACCTTCCTGTCTCACTCACCTGTCCTTTCCTTTGTCTCTTTAAGGGGGAACCAGGGCCCAAAGGAGAGAAGGTGAGACGTGTTTGCTGAGGTACAAAATCAGGGATTCAGAAATGAATTCTGATTACACGTATAAAATCATAAGTATGATTTATTTGTCATGACGAACCGGGATTATTTACATGATTATTTATGGTGCAGCTCACCAAAATAAAAGCATGAGTAACAGAGTAACACCCCTTGCCTACACACACCTGCGGGTCCCACTGAGCCATTCATCATGATCCTTTTACCAAACCTTTCCACTAAATATTTAGAGTTTATAACTGCAAAACTATATTTAGCACCAACGGTTTCCACCAGCAGGTGGCAGAGGTGAGGAGTTTAGTGGTAAAAACCTGAGAGTTTAAATGACAAAACCACAATAAACTCAATATAGATTTCTATTGAGATGCTCTTAAGAGTTAAATGTATATTATTTTAGTTTTTTATTGGTAAAAAGATATAAAAGTTGTTGGACAGCATGTTTTGAAATTATTATGAATTGTGGTTGTGTGTGGTTTTGAGCTAGCCTGTGCTGTAAGGGGGATGGGTAATATTTTTTTTTGTACGTAAAAATTTGTAAAACTTAATAAAAAACTTAAATAACAAAAAATATACATTTTTATAGATATTTCTAACATTCAGACATTAGTGAAATCAGATGTAATTTAACTTTCTACCACATCAAACACGAAGAACACAAAAAGGAACAAGCAGAAAAAAACAACAATGGAAGCCTGGAGCTCCAAATAAAGTCTGTGAGTGAAGCTCTTCCAAAAACAGGCTTTAAAAAGTCTTGATGTTTGGAAATAAAAAATAATGTAAATTTGTCTCCGGAGGTCAGAAATAAACATAATGGAGCCACTCATCACCTGTGTGTTTTACCCTCATTCTGCCATGTTTACCTTTTATTCTACCACAAAAACACAAAGGCGAGTTTAGCTGGACGAGTCGGAGGCATAATCATTAAACAGAGGATTTTTTTAAAGACACTCTCATAATTCATAATTTCATCATTCATAGTAAAGAGTCTGTTCCACACAGTTTGTCTAAAAGTTTTCTTTCTAATTAAATCCTTATTTGTTTTTGTCCAGGGAGTCTGTGGGGACTACACACACCGGGTAAGAACATCTGATTCCCATCTATAATAATTATCTAAAGACAAACTGAAGCTGTTGTGAACAACACGCTTTGGTTGAGTCAGGAGCTGCTACATGTTGGTTTTTAGCAGCACCTCGTCTGTTTAGGAAAAGTTTCGGAGCTTTTCTCTTCATGACTGTTACCTTACAGTATTAAGGACACAGTGAGAGGTAATGATGTGTTGGAGCTACACGGTTAAATGCATTTGAATTCAAGTTACTGCAGCTGAGGCAAACATATAGTTGGAATGTGCTTCCTGAGTTTGTATTTGAGTCGTATGTAATTACGCTGTAGTAAACAGTAACAAATTATACTGATTTAGTCTTTCATGTAAGTGTGTATTAGTAGTTCCAACACATCACTACTTATTACTGTGTATTTACTTTTAATTGCAATTGGTTTGCTTTTTCAGGTAAAGTTAATTAATCAAATTTTACAGTTTAGAGAAGGTCGAGGATACAAGCGCACTGTAGGTAATGTAGTGATGTCGACCCCCGATGGTACATGAGTGGTAGATGAATGTGTGTGTGTGTGTGGGGGGGGGGGGGTCTGAGCTGAGTTTGTTTTTCATCCACCCCTCAGAGCCCTGCAGCGGTCTATTTGGGAGGTCCGGGCCTTCCTTCTGTACCGGGGCCCTCTGGGGGTGAAATTAGGCCTGCTAAATGTGTTATTTAGTGTTTTTGCTCTGGGTTCTTTAATCTGTGACTCTGGGCAACATAAGGCCCTTTAACCAGAAAATATCAGAAGATGTTTAATTATTAACTCATTCGCTGCCAGCCGTTTCTCAGCGTTTTTACTGTTTTTTTAAGAGTGACAGAACGTTGCGTGCTAGGATGATGCCAACACCAAAACAAAGCGGAGACTCGCCTCTTACATCAGGAAGAATCCGCGCGTTTCGAGCGTTATCCGTTCTTTCATAATCCGTTGTTGAATTTTGATCGGCAGAAGCTTTTCTGGTTCGCGCCTCACTTTTTTTACAGCAGCGGCCCAAAACGATCTCCTAACACATGGATGTGTTGCTCCCTGATCACGTGACGTGTGACGTATGCGGATGAAGATCGGCTTTAGAGCTGAGATGTTTGTTCTCACGGTGTGGGGGCTCGTCCGACGCCCACACAGTAAAAGCATGGCAGTGAATGAGTTAATTTAAAAAGCACATTATTTTCAGTTTTACACAAATATGACTGAGATCTCCAGTGAGGATGCTGGTGCTGATGCTGGCGACGGCTCCATCAGTACTTTATTCAGACTGAACTCATCTTCTGGGGTTTCTGCAGTGAAATGACCGCCTGCCCCCATGTTTAGGGCCTTTTTGTGCAGGAGCTCCCCCTGAAAACCCTGGCTGCCTTACGTTCCAGTCAGGCTTTGATGTTGAAGGTTTGTGGGTGCCCCCCCTCCAACACCCTGGGAGGAGGTGTCACCAAGTCGTGCCGCAAAGAGAGCCGTTGCCTCGGGCAAAGGCGCTCCTCCACCCCTCTGCTCTCTACCCTCACAAACGTCTCATTTGAAATCAGCCGTGGCTTTTGGGTCGGGGTTCACCGTCAACACCAATAAGGAGAATTTCAGTAATGCTTGTTCATTTGGCTGAAAGTGACTTCAGAAGAAGTTTGTTGATGTGGAGGAGAGCTGAGGGCGGTGAAGGACGACGCAGCACAGCTGCCTTCTTTCTTCCCCCTAACTGTTTCACCTTAAGCCTGACGTACATATTTCCATCAAAAAGCAGCTTTTTGACTCATCACAGCAGCTGTAGCTGAAGTCTAATTTCACAGTTTTAACTTTGCTGCATTAAAACATGGAAATATCTACCTGCTGTGGGCAGAAGGCCAGCTGGCTGCAGCCGGCGCTGCTTGGTGTCAGTAGGGAAGCTTTAGAGCTGCTCTGGCCTCTCCTGAACTCCTAAACCTCTGACGCTGCTCCTCTCAACAGAAGCGGCGTATTGTCCAGCCCTGTGCCGGACAGCTGGCCTCAGTAAGTCTGATATGACTGCAGATTTGTTACTGTACTCTCTTTGTGGCAAGACCGGCGCGCTCCTCTGCTCTGCTGCAAGCTACGGGTCTGGGTCACCTTTAACGGGGGGCTGGTGCGTTCGCTCTGAACGAAACAACCTCTGGTTTAAACTAAATTCATTATTTCACCCATGAAGAGCCCCGAGCACCCCGACCCGGAGCTCGCTGAGCAGATGCCTCTTTTTGTTCTGTTTTACTTCCCACTTCCTGGTTTTTCACTGTTCTATTTCTCTTTTTCCTCTGTACCCCCCCCCCCCCCCCCCCCCCCATCCTGGTTCTGTCCTGTGTCCTCTCTCTGGCCTCCTGGTGGTCTTTGCCCTGTGACCTTTTTGCACTGCTGGCAACCTTCTGCTTTCCCCTGGCAGATGTTGCCCATCTCCATGCGCAACATGCCCTCAATAAGCCCTCTAATCCTAAAACGCCTAAAGGTACAACTCTCTCTTCCCCTCCTCGCTCGCCCTTTCTAAGCCCTCCGCCATTGCCGTTCACCAAAACCAGCTCCTTCACGCTCATTAACCAACCTTTGGCTGCTTCAGATAAAGGACGGAGTTCTGATGTTGATGCGGTAGGAACAGCCGTAGCTCAGAAGGTGGAGCAGGTTGTCCAGTAATCGGAAGGTTGCAGGTTTGATCCAGGCTCCTGCCTTAGAATGCTGCTGTTGTGTCCTTGGGCAAGACACTTAAGTCCCCTTGTCTGCTGGTGGTGGTCAGAGGGACCGGTGGCGCCGGTGTTCAGCAGCCTCGCCTCCCCAGGGCAGCTGCAGCTACGACGAAGTTCATCCCCACCAGCGTGTGAATGAATGAATGACTGATTGTGTTGTGAAGCGCCTTGGGGGGTTCTAGAACCCTGAGCAGGCCATTTACCATGCAGGATGGACGTGGATGCGTTTAGATAAGCTGTAAGACCTGATCCAGCAGCTTCTTCTCCTCATCATAACTCTTATTTAGCTAAAAGATGTGAGTCAAAGATCTGCTGCTTCCAGAATAACGTTTTATTTGATGCTTTCGGAAGAAAACACTCATTATAGATTTAAAATCTCAAGTTATTTATAGAAATGTTTCCTCACACGAACCAGTCAAGTCAAACAGGGGCTGCTTTAAATCAACCCTCATGATTCACAAACCAGTGTCCTTCATCTTTAGTTTCCGCTGTACTAAATGACGGATCTGCAGGCTTTCTGCTGCAATAAATATGGAGGGAAACTTTCAAGGATGTGGAACGAAAGTTGTTCCCAGAAGCAGGAGCAGATTCAGGATTTCTACGTGTTTATTATCTTTGTTTCTCTGCTCAAAGCTCTTTTATTTGATTGTGTTTAGTCTTGGATTTGGGTTGAGATGGTTCCCAGAGCTTCGGCTGTCAGGGAGTCGTCTTCCAAGTAACCACAGGATGGATCTGAAGCACATTTCAGGGAAGCTGCAGAACCGATCAGAATCAGTGACACACATTATGAAATTATATAAAACCAACATGAATTAATCCACTCAGAGTCCAGATCCAGGATCCCGTCCCTTCATGTCTAACATGGCTTTAGCAGCTATTTTATCTCCTGTCCCTGAATGAGAGGTCCACCTACAGGAAGCAGAACTAGCTCACACCTGTCCAGGTGTCCATCAGACACCCAACAGGTGACCAGATCAGTGCATAAATCATAGAAGTCTGCCTCTGCCCCGGTGTGAATAGTGTCTAAATCAGAGGGAAGCTTGCTGGAATTCCCATCCCTTGTTAAGGGCAATGGATTATTTTTTGGATGTAGCAAATATAACTCAGAGGAATGCTGCTCAAACTTCACCTTAGACATGGATTAGGATGTCTTTCCACTGGGAGAGGAGGAATCTTGACGCTGCAGCATCATACCTGCCTGCCTCGCTGCTGAGCTAACCTTCATCTATGCTTCACCCCCCCACCCCCGCTGCATCGCCGCTGCTGTGTGTGTGTGTGTGTGTGTGTGTGTGTGTGTGTGTGTGTGTGTGTGTGTGTGTGTGTGTGTGTGTGTGTGTGTGTGTGTGTGTGTGTGTGTGTGTGTGTGTGTGTTAGCATGGTCAGGTGAAGTCCAGAATAACAGGTTGTAACTCAAGGTCTCTCAGCAGGGTGAGCCTGGTGTGCAGGGACCGCCAGGACCTCCAGGACCCCCTGGTAACCCAGGTCTGGATGGAGTTAGTGGTCTCCCGGTGAGTTCCAGTGTTGTCCTGTTGGGAACACTAAATAATGCTAAACACATTAATAACATCCATCCATCCATCCATCCATCCATCTGTCCATCCATCCATCCATCCATCCATCCATCCGTCTGTCCATCCATCCATCCATCCATCCGTCTGTCCATCCATCCATCCATCTGTCCATCCATCCATCCATCCATCTGTCCATCCATCCATCCATCCATCTGTCCATCCATCCATCCATCCATCTGTCCATCCATCCATCCATCCATCTGTCCATCCATCCATCCATCCATCCATCCATCCATCTGTCCATCCATCCATCCATCCATCTGTCCATCCATCCATCCATCCATCCATCCATCCATCTGTCCATCCATCCATCCATCCATCTGTCCATCCATCCATCCATCCATCTGTCCATCCATCCATCCATCCATCTGTCCATCCATCCATCCATCCATCTGTCCATCCATCCATCCATCCATCCATCCATCCAGACTATTCCTGACATGATGTCTGTATGTAAATAGTCACATGTATGATTTCTGCTGCAGGGTAAACCAGGAGAACCTGGAAAACCAGGGAAAGATCCAAGAGTAAGTTCTAGTTCACCCTCACTTCTCCAAGCCTCTGTTTTGTTCCTGACTCTAATGGCTCTCTTTCCTGATTCCAGCTTTTACCAGGACTAAAGGTAAAACTATTATTTTCCTTCCCTACATTGGAAAACTTGCTTCCCATCGGAACTTTGTTGACTTTCTCTCCGTCGGATATTCAGAGACCCAAATAAAACAAGGGATAAGGAAGGGACCAGTTGAGCTTGTTTTCCCTCAGCTGTTGTGTAGCTCAGACCAACTCCTCCATCATTCCTCTGGGTTATTACAGCACACGTCCACGTGAAGCTTTTATTGTTGCAGTTCATTAAAGAGGAGGAATGTAGATCTGGAAGATGATCGAAAAAACAAACTGTAGAAAATACGCTGAACCTCGTAGCAGGAAGGAAGTCTTTTAGGGAAAAGCCTCCAACAACCAGTAGCAGCAGAGATGAAAGATCACGTTTGCTGCAGCTTAAAGTCAAACATCTGCTAAAACCTTAGAAGTGTGTTCAGGAAGACACCAGGAGGACGTGTGTCCACACATGTCTCACACTCTCCTGTTTACCAACATTCTAGAGAAATAAACTAGTAGTCTGGCACTGATGGGTCGAATCTACTCAGATTACTTTGTGCTGAAACATTCAGCAACGTTCAGAAGAATCTGTGTCTCTAGCTGTCCGTCATAATCTCTGATTTCTGCCTCCAGGGAGAACCAGGAGTTCCAGGACTAAAGGTGAGACTGAGCCGGATTCACGCAGGTGTGGCGTTAAAGGAGAGGCTGTGAAACACACGTATGCTGATGTGTTTCTCTAAAGCCCTTTTCAGATTGGCATTCTGGAATATGTGTGGACAATTCAGTCCGGTTTTTAACCAGAACTGTGTTTTCAGACACACCACTTTTGTACCTGAACTTGTCCTTTCGGCTGCCTTCACACAGCAGGGAAAAGTTCCAGGTGTCTGAGGGAAAGGGGGTGGGAAGGCTGTACCCGGATATTGCGTAAACATGGTGCGGCGGGCGTACATGCGTCATTTACCCAAACAAAGCCATTCAGTCAAACATGGCCGACGAAGAGATAAAATTCCTCTCACTGATCGGACTTATGTTAAGCATAATTCTCGCACACGAAGACGCATAAGAGACCAGGATGATGAAGCTCAATGGCTAATAAAGGAATCACGGAAGCGGTGTGAAGCGCTCCGTCGCGCGTCTACGAGACGGTACCGTAGGAGGCGAGCTGCCGTGGTTCGCCGCATGCTACAGGAGTGAGCTATCTAGGTGCACACAGCGTCCCCCGGTCCCCTCCTCCTCCCCCTCCCCCCTGTCCGGAACTCGACCTCACCAGTCTGAAGCAGCCACCTTGTCCGTGACAAGTCCGGACCTGTTACTAGGGGCTTCGTCCGGTTTAATTACGGAAAAGGTTATCCGGATGTTTGTGTTCAGACACAAAGGTCTTACGGACAGAGTCCCGAACATTTCCGTTTTTCATGGCCTGTCTGAAGGGGGCTTAGGGGGGACCGGGGTGATGCGGGCCCTCCAGGTCCTGAAGGCTTCAAGGTAAATTTCACAGTTTTAAAAAGACACTCAAATAAAAACAAATAACAATTCATTCCGAAACAAATGCTTCCAAGCAGAATTCCCATTCCGTAATCTGGCAAAGTTTGTAGATCGGTGACGTCTTAAATCTTCTCACATAGTAAACAAAAACATTTAGTTTGAATCCTCATCTTGTCTGGTTTTTCTGCAGAAGCTGATTTTATATTCTGAAGATAAAATCATCATCAGACTCAGCAAAAACAAATCATTCTCGCCCCAAACGGCTAAACAATAGAATTCAATTCAATTTAATTCGATTTTATTTATAAAGCGCCAAATCACGACAAGAGTCGTCTCAATGCACTTCACATAATAAACATTCCAATCCAGGTCAGTTCATTAAGCCAATCAGAAATAATGTTTCTTATATAAGGAACCCAGCAAATTGCATCGAGTCACTGACTAGTGTCAGAGTCTTTACAGCAATCCTCATACCAAGCAAGCATAAAGCGACAGTGGAGAGGAAAACTCCCTTTTAACAGGAAGAAACCTCCAGAGAATCCTGGCTCAGTAAGAAGAAGAATATGCTGGATTAGCCCTGGTCTGGAGGGTAAACCGTTAATCTGATCAAACATGTTTTTGTTTTTTACGATATAATCTGACCGCAGAAAACACTGCAGCTACTTTTATTGCTGTGACGTTTTACGAAATGGAAAGTGTTTGCTGGGTTATTGGTGTGAGTCAACACACACACACACACACACACACTCACTCACTCACTCACACAAACACACACACACACACACACACACACTCACTCACACAAACACACACACACACACACACACACACACACACACACACACACACTCACTCACTCACACAAACACACACGCACACACTCACACACACACACTCACTCACTCACTCACTCACGCAAACACACACACACACTCACACACACTCACACACACACACACACACACACACACACACACACTCACTCACTCACACAAACACACACGCACACACTCACACACACACACTCACTCACTCACTCACTCACACAAACACACACACACACTCACACACACTCACACACACACACACACACACACACACACTCACTCACTCACACACACACACACTCACACACAAACACACACACACACACACACACACACACACACACACACCTACAAGAGGAACCCAAACTTGATTAATTTATTGGATTGAATCAATCTGCTATTTTTCTAAAGACAAAATCTCACAAAACTCCAGGTGCTTTGTATAAAATGGTCGATAGAAAGTTGTGTCGGCTGCTGCTGCTCGCGTGTTTTCACGTTGATCCACTCCGACGCTCCAGGAACACATGAGCGCAGGATGAAGGTCACAGGGAAGCAGCATTCCCAACTAACCAAAAGGATCTAAGCGCCATCTAGTGGCACGAGTCAGTACGATCAGCCCTTACCGTAACAACCTGTCTCTGCTCTTTCCCTCAGGGAGAGAAAGGAGACCAAGGAATGAAGGTAAGTGTGTGTGTGTGTGTGTGTGTGTGTGTGTGTGTGTGTGTGTGTGTGTGTGTGTGTGTGCGCGCGCGCACATGCGTGCGTGTGTGTGTGTGTGTGCGTGTGCGTGCATACGAGCCAGCTGATTGGATTAAATCGTAGATTTCCAGATTTTAACTAAAACTCTGACAGGAAACTTGGGGGGGGGGGGGGGGGGGGGGATGCAGGACCAGCTGGATGAAATATTCCTGATGTTAGAGGTTTTACTTGATGGATTAAAAAACAGATTTTTGTTTTGTGAAGTTTTGGCACCACCTGGCCTGGGCTTGGCTCGTTCTGTTTTATTCCTGATGATCCTCATTTGACTGGGATTGTCCTCTGAGTGACTTCCCTCGTGTGTGTGTGTGTGTGTCTGGTCTGGGAGGAAGTTCTACTGGTGTTCTGCTCGTTTCCAGGACAACTGCTCGCTTCTCATGTAAACATGTAAATCTCCTGCTGTCAGGTCCTCGTCCTGCTGGAGGCCTGTCCTCACAGCCTTTAGTCCTGCTTCAAAGTGTGTGTGTGTGTGTGTGTGTGTGTGTGTGTGTGTGTGTGTGTGTGTGTGTGTGTGTGTGTGTGTGTGTGTGTGTTGATAAGAACTTTTATTATAATTAGTTTCCAACACCGCCTGTTGCTGCTGCCTGAACAGCCTCAGTTTTGTAAAATAGAGTTAAGCTAACAGCCGAATCTGGCTCCTCCAGAACCAAAGTGTGTCGCTGCCATCACCCATCAGCTGAAGTGTTAAGGACTAGAATAGACTTGCTTTTTAACGATGCATTTGCGTGTTTAAAATGGCTGCTGCGCGCAACTTGCTTTGATTTGAAGCATTGTTTGTGCGTGTTCCCCAAAATGAACGCGATGCGTTCAAACGCTGCAGTATACGAGTAACCAGACGGCGGAGTCGAGTGAGACTCACTCATCGTGGTCTTTCATACCATCTGTACAGCTGCTGTGGTCTCAAGATGAACCAGTTACTGGTCTCTTCTATTGACGCCATGTTTGTTTGGGTTGTACTCCGTAAACCCAGCTCTCTATCTTGTCTGAGTTGTCTTCTGTGCTTCCTAGTGGAACCCTCCAGCACTACATGCAGGTCGGTGCTGTGCAGCAGCAAGTACGTACGTGAACAAAGTCGCGGCCCTCGCCACCACGAGGTTAAAAAGCAAGTTCATCTCGGCCGTTGGGCCTGATTAATAGTTCTGCGTCAGCTCGGGTGCAGAGTTGCGTTCACTCACTGATGAAGACGTTTTCCTTATTCCCGACTTTTCCGTTGCCTGGGGAGTTTTCAATTCCCTGCCAAGACAACAGAGGGTGTAGTCCCATCCGGTCCGCTGTTTATTATTGTGTTTATGTATTTCAGAGACATTTGACCACAAACACATTCTCCTCTCCATGCCGTTTTCACCTCCAAACCCACGTTTTCTGTCATTTCCTTCCACGAGTAACAGGTTCTTTGTACTCCTTCAGTCACGGATGTTTTAACGTTAATGTCGTCTGACTTTTACTGCGTCGATCTTCGACCTGCTCCACGCCTGATGATACATATCTTCAGCGCAGTCAGTTTTGTTGTAGGGGAATGGCGATGCTGTTGATGCATTTTGAGGAAGTGACATCATGACCAATCACAAGCTTGTGGTCTGCGTCACCTTCGACAGATGGTTAAAAATTGGGCAGGTCTCCATCACCATCTTTGGGCCTGCTGCAGAGCCCTTGTGTCAACGCATCGCGGCGTTGTGCGTCTCCGTACCGCTGCAGACGGATAAGGATAAATCAGGCTTTAGGGGGACATGTTGGGGATTTGCGGCAGTATGCAGGTTCTATTGGGACCGGGCCAGGACCAGAACCCATCTGTTGTTTCTGCTCAGCAGGATGAGGTGACACTGATCCATTCCTGTACCGTCTCAGGAGCACCTGAGTCTTATTTTACTGAACTTCAGCCTGAAACGGATGAATTGGTGTTTATTATAAAATCAAACAATTTTTTTCCAGTAAATTCAGACTTCATCACACTTTTCCTTCCTATCATCTCGTTTTTTTTCTTCAGAACTGGGTTTAGTGTTTTTTCTGTGATAACAGACTCCAGCTCCGAAGCGGTCTCGGTGGACCAGAACCAGCAGCAGGACGGAGTCGCAGCGGAGCGTGTTTTTGATTTATTGTTAGGTTTAGAGAAGCTTTTAGATGTTCTGATTTTACATGAGAGGGTTAGAGAACAGAGGAGAAGTCCTGGAAGCTGTCAGATACCAGCTGGAAACACGTCCAATAAAATGTGCTGTCTTCCTTCACTGGCAAGGGCCAGACGGGAATTCCTGGAACGCCTGGTATCCCTGGCATTCCTGGCAAGAGGGGCTATCGGGTAGGCTGGAATGGGATGAACTTCCTTCTGCTTGGTTTTGTTTGTTCATCTGGGTGTCATGAAGCCTGATGGTTGTTTTATGTGTGATGCACTTTGTTGTTTAGTGTTCATTAATAATATTAATATTAATAATAATAATAATATTAATAATGATAATAATAATAAACATTTAGATAATCTTTATTAAGCTGTTTTTAATCACAGTTTTATTAATTCTCCATCAAATAAAACTTGTGTTTTAACTAACTGGAGTTCATCACATGATCTTCATCAGTGGGTTTAGTCAACAGTCTGTTGGTTGTCATGGAAACAAGATTCAGCGTGTCATCCACGAGGACCACCTGGGTTATCTAGGAGATGGAGATGGTCAGGTTAGAGGAACGCGTGAAACGTCCGCATTAAGAGATTCCACCGAATCTGTATTTTCTGGACCGAATTATCTGGCTCAGGTTAAATAAATCAAATTCCAGATAATTTCTTAATTCTTGTGACAAATGAAGGGAATTAATTTGGGCACCTGGACTAGATGGATCTAGAGGAGAAGACCTGTTTTAGAACATCACCAGTCAGCGCCTCATTCATCAAACGTTCAGACAAATATCCCTGAGTTTCCTTTCCATTCACGTATGAACAGTCAAACACCTGATTTATGACACATGCGGTGGCCACTCAAACGCACGTCTGATGGTAATCACCTGTGCGTTCCCAGGTGCTCGTGTCCGTTCACCATCGCTTACAGAAACGCCCTCAGCTAACCATATGTGGTCACGCGACATCCTCAGCTGAGGAGGAGATTCCCCGGGCTATTCCTGAAGAAAACACAAGGAAACTTTATTGAAAGCGAGATTCAGACACTGACTACGTTTACATGCAGCCAGTATTCGGGTTTTGATCGGGTTAAGGTCAACATTCAGCTTTCTGCAAAGTTTGGACTGACCCGTTTACATGCACAAGTAAAGAGTTACTCCTGTATACATGGAACTTCTAATATCCTGATGAGCTTGTGCCTAAAGAGATGTCTCTTTAGGCGCTTTCTGAGCTGAAGACGAGATTCTGGACTCAGACAGGCTCATGGATGCGTCGCCACGTTGGAGACAGGAACAAGCCAGGCGAAGCTTCCTAATCCGGGATTATAACCCTGAGAGACAGGGTTAAGAAAACACTTGCTTCAGTGAGAGGAACCTTCCCGCATGGCTCTGGTTCTGCTGCTGCCGGTGACCCACTCGCTCCAAGCCTCTCTCCACATCTTCAGCTCGCCGTCCACCTCACGTGCGCTGACAGCGAGCTGTGCTGATGCGTGTCCAGCTCAGATGTTCTGATGGGAATCTTGTCCTGATTGATTTAGCAACCTCCGCCATGTGCTTAACGATTAAATGTCAGAGCGTCTGCACGCGTCGGCGTTCAAAGCGACCGACAGCCTGGAGGTTTCTCCATCAAAGTAAACGTCAGACAGGAAAGATCCGGTCAGCGCGAACCCTGCCCTTCAACTGTGAAGACTGTTGCAAAGAGAAACATTAAACTTGATCAACACCAGCGCCATGCGCTCTGCCGTTGTCTTCGTCGCTGTAAATGAGCACAAAACTAATTGAATGGATCTTTTTCTTAAATTTTCAACATTGTTTCGTGTAAAGTTTTGTTCAGTACAAGGTTTAATTACAACAATCCTACGGGACAGAGGCTGGGTTTGTGTTCTGAACAGTTTTAAAAGGAGACACGTGTGATGCGTTCAAAAATCGGCACCTGCTCAGGCCCGGTAGGCCCCTCCCACAACGCCACGGCTCCCAGTGTTTTCTTTACTGTGGGGAACGGATAATAATGGCTTCTTGATAAGAAAAGGTTGCCGAGCCCCGATCTACTCTAAAGACCAAGCTTCCTTGTAAATAGAACATGGGCAGAGCGCACCTTTTCTAAGGGTTATGACCTGATATTCGGGCTGGAAACGGGTTACTCCAGGGGTAACAACCCGGTTTTAAAAACCCGCTAATGAGCGAAACCGGGTTTTTGCCTGTGTTTACATGGCCTTGCGGAACCGGGTCATTGCAAATAACCGGGTTTTGAACGGGTTATTGGCTGCATGTAAATGCAGTCATAGGCTGCAAGTGCAAAAGAACCAAACAAGTTGCAGAGGTTATAAACGCGGTCGGGACGCAGGAAAGGTTCCCGTCAGGAATAAGGAAAACACTTTGTTAAATCGTAGAGTAACGTTGTCATTTACGTTTTACATTTAATAAGTCGCTCTGTTTGGAGTTAATTTTATTTGGAGATGTTGTCTGAGAGTGCAGCCTCTTCTGAGCTTCAGTCTGGTCACCTTGGCAACGCGGCGTGTATGATCAGGGAGCAGAGGAGGTTCTGGTTCTCCTAGTTGTAAAATAGAATCTGGACCGAAATCGGATTTGTGCGATTTATCTGTGGCTTCAATGGGTCCCAAATCCCAACACAGCTCCAGAAGGATCTTCATCAGGAATCAGATCAGAGCGCTCATGGAGGACGCGGTTCCTCCAGAGAGCACGCTCTGCCGAGTACTCCATTAGTAATAATAATTAGAAGAAAGGTCTCTTAAAAAGCGCTTCTCAAGATAAAAATCACAAGGAATTTCACAAGGAAAATATAAGAAAATTAATTAATTATAATAAATAAAAATGGTAAAAATATCATAAATATTGAGAAGAGTGCCACAAAGGCAGATTCCCGTCAATCACACGTGTCTTTCATAGGTTTCGGCACCAATAATGTGACTGATAATTAGTGGATGAGGAACGCTCCTGGGTTGGGCAATGAGACCTTTGTTGTTGCGGTTCCCTGGTTCTACCACTAGATGCTGTTCATACAGGGTCTGAGGAACATTTTCACGCAAAAGTACAACTTGTAGAATATGCTGGTGAAGGTCCTCAGTCATCCATGTCATGGTAATCCAAGCAGGATTGAGGAATGAGATTCCTATAATGCAGCTTTGAATCTCAATCCTAAGCAATTTCAGTCTAGGTCACACCTTACTCCATCTAATCAACACAACAACTCATCATGGCGTAGAGAGGAGGGGTATTCAGAGTAGTTTCTGCTCGACAGACAGCTCCAGTTATAAACTTGACTCCCATATTCCAGTCAAAACTGGCAAAGTTCCTCGGATGAGAAGCGAAACGATTTCAAGAAACCAAAAAAGGCCATTTGCCTTCATTTGAACCCTTTTGAAACGGAAGAATACCACACGTATGTTAGTTCCTAACACCAAACACGCACAGATCTGTGTGTAAGTACATTTGATCCGATTTGAGTCACCAACAGGAATGGAGAAGAACTAACACACCCCCTAGTGGCTGGTAACAGTATAACTTTTAAGTCCCACCCCCTCCATGTGAACCAACAGCAAAAATGTTCCTCACTCACCCCAGATATTTCCCTCCAGGTGTAGATCCTGTAGAGCTTACCTGCCAGCTGTTTGTTTGGGTGTTTATTTTCCTGAGATGTTTATTTATAATTATTTATTTAATGATTAATTACCCGCTCTAGGGAATTCAGTGGAGTCGCTGCTCAACCAAATGATGAATCCGACACTGGAGTCAGTGTGATTTACCTCTTGAAACAGAAAGCATCAAGTGTGTGTGTGAAACAGAAGCAGCGTGCACCAGGAGAAGGTTGGAGGAACCTCAGCTGGAGGTGGAGGAGGACTAGATGATGCACCCCAGTGTGGAGGTCCTGTGTCCTCATGTCAGCCAGACAAACAGCCCACTGATGAATGCCATGTGATGCTAATTATTATTATGTGTGTGTGTGTGTGTGTGTGTGTGTGTGTGTGTGTGTGTGTGTGTGTGTGTGTTCAGAAATCTTATTTTATTAAGTGCATTAATTAGACTTTTCTTGGCAGTTTGGTTTAGTTGTGGGTTTGGATTTGAGGCTGATGTTCCAGCAGACAATTGGAATGTGGGAATAAACTATAAAATTATTTATTCCATTATTGTAGCATAAAAACGTATTACTAAAGTCAATAATCATTAGTTATCTGAAGTCTCTGATCTTCCTGTTTTTCCACCAGGGGGAGAAGGGAGAGCCGAGCTCTGCAGCTAAAGGAGTTAAAGGTGAACCAGGTTCTCCAGGACTTCCAGGACTAACAGGACCCAAGGTGAAGGGAAACGTCTGATGCGTGAAGCTGAACAGACTTGGTTGTAGTTTACTGAATTAAAGGTGCAATTTGTAAGAATTCTACAGAGAAATGATCAAAACAGTCCAATGTGTCAGTCATGTTAGAAGGAAGCTAATTCATTCTCAGCTAGCTGGAGGGTTGTCTGCTTTCTCCTTTACAAAAACAGCCAAACAAAAGCAGGCAGAGGTGCTGTTTACACAATCTGAGTTTGTGAGGCTGTCAAATCTGCCAAGAGCTAACGCAACAGCACCGGCATCTGTAATCCAACACCGGCAGGCCAAAAGCTCCAGAGTAGCTAAAAGAACTGAAGCCAGTAAACCGGAGGGGCAGAAAAGGTTTTTTTGTTGTACCCCTAAAGAGCCACAAAATTAAGTAACCGATCCTATTTAATTTTTTGTTTTTTTTTTTAGGGTGAAAAAGGAGAGAAGGTAAGGGACAGATAAGTGAAAGGATTTTCTTTTTTATAGAACCTGCTTTACGTAAATCTGACCCCAGGTCAGTCAAATGGGACTGGCTTTGTGGCCTAGTGGTATGACTGTGCGCCCTGAGACTGAGAGATCCAAACCAAGCTAAAACTGAACCAATGACCTTAAACATGGGACCCGATGCTTCCCGGCTTCACACTCCGCATTAAGAGGCTGGATTGGGGGGTTGAACCACCAAATAGTTCCCAAGCACAGCCGTGTCTGCAGCTCACCGCTCCCCACGGGGATGGGTCAGATACTTAACTCAAATCAGAATCGGTTGTAAATCCTAAAAATGATTTATTTTATTTTATTTATTATTATTTTTTTTTATTATTATTTTACTTTACATTACTTTACTTGACTTTACTTGACTTGACTTGACTTTATTTTAGGGGCAGGAGGGTTCTGATGGTCCAGCTGGTCCGAGAGTAAGTGTCCACTCACACATTTCATCATGCAGCAACCATGGTCCTTCTAATCTGGATTTTAGTAACGTGTCCAACGTTTTCTCTCCTCTTAGGGTCCCCCAGGCCCAACTGGAGAGCCAGGAAGGGCTGAAATCCTGAACGATGAAAATGTGCGTCCTTAAACGTTTTCTTCATTGAAATAGACTCATCAGTAAAATAACAATAAATATAAATATTTCTTTACAGGATATCCGTAACATCCCTCTCATGGTGAGTAACTTGTCCCACATATGAACGATTGTGCTGAGTCATCAGAGGTGGACGCGTTCATCCTGGGTTAAAACAAACCAGCTTCTACTAGAAGAAAAAAACATTGAATGAAATTATAATCAGACGTTTTTTTTCATCCTAGGGTCCTCCAGGATTACCCGGACCTCCAGGGCCTCCTGGAGTGCCTGGTTCCAAGGTCAGATTGTTTGACGAAAACCGTTACTGATTTAATTTCAAATGAGCCACAGCTTTTACTCACAGATTATAGTTTATATTTAAATAGTTTTGACATTTGTGACCATCAGTTTATTCAAAGATGTTGATGCAGCGTTGGTTTTTCCTCAGGGTGAAGTTGGTCTGCCAGGCCCTCCAGGGCTGGATGGAGAAAAGGTAAACCATTGGTATCGTTTTCCATCATCACTAGTCTGATTAATTAGAAATTAGAAAAAAGTACAATCTGTTGTAGCCAATTATTTATTTTATTTATTAATTTATTTTTTATCTTTCTTTTAATGATCCACAACACCTTGTTGGTTTTTATGGTGTGCTTCGTGGTTGTGTTCAGCACCTTGGTCTGCTAATGAGGTCGTAGAAGATGCTTTATAAATAACTGAACTGAACTAATGTCTCTTGATGTGGTTCAGGGACCCAGAGGGAAGCCTGGAGAGCCCGGTCCTCCAGGCCCATTTGGTCCAGAGGGTCCCAGAGGAGAAGGTGGTGTCATGGGCTTTCCGGGACCTAAAGGAGACAAAGGAGACGTGGGTCCATCAGGATCACCGGTGAGTTCGCTCTCCCATTTATCAACCGTACTAATGAACAGATCTGTGTGTATTTCATGCGTTGAAAGGATGTTATGCGTTGTGTGGTATTCATCATCTTGTACTTGTGTGTAAAAATGTTCCTAAACATCAGAACAGTTCTGACCGTGCGTACGAATAGCATCTAGCGGTGGAACGGTGGAACTGCAGTACTGAAAGTCTTAGTCGTCTACGCGTGTTCCTCATCCAGAAAATATTTTTACTCAATAAGTAATGATGTCTGTGGAGAGTCAGCGCCATCACATACCTGCTGTCAGAGCCTATAAAAGGCAGCTGTGACTGATGGGACTGGCCTTGTAGCGTGGCTGATCTGGTGTTACTGGAGGGTTTGGCAGAGCGTGCTCTCCGGAGGAAACGGGTTCTCCGTCAGCGCTCTGAACTGGTTCCTGGAGGAGATCCTCCTGGAGCTATGCGGTGATTTAGGAGCTTTTGTGGAGTGACAGACAAACCGCACACAAACTACAAGAACCCCCAAGAATGCAGCTAGTATAGGGTGTAACCAAATATGGTTAACTGAGGGCATTTCTATGTAAATGGACACAAGCACCTGAGTACGCACAGGTAGTGGCCACCGCGTGTTTCATAAATCAGGATTTCAGTCATTCATACGAACATTCTAGATTTCATTCGTAGGATGGAATATCGGCAGTTTCCACGAATTGTGGGGTGTCTGATCTTGGTGCTCCGGGTTTCATATGTTAATCTGCTGCAACACACCTGATTGTCTGGTTGAATTACCTGTTCAGGTGTTCTACAGAAACCTGAGATGGACTTTTTGATTCAGATCAGGTGTGTTGGAGCAGAGAAACATCTAAAACATGCAGGGCGTTGGCCCTGGAGGACCAGGACTGGACACTGTTGATGTGTCTCCTGCTCTAGCATAAAATCTCAGCTACGCCAGCTCACCACGGGATTTTACTTTTAAATTTGTGCGGTGAACAGAACTCTTAAACTTCTCCCAAACTTCAGACAAAATCCTGATTAACAGCAGGTGCCCCGCCCTGACCCGAGAGGTAAACCCAGGGGACACCAACCTGCATGCATATTGGTCTGATGAAGTCCCTCTTCCCTTTCGACCCGGCTGGGAATAAAATATCCAAACTGATAAAACTAACTGAGGTTGAGAGTGACGTGCTGCAGTGCTGAATCAGGGATTATCACCACCAGAGTTTCTTTTTTCTATCCTGCAGCTTTAAAGGGGCATTATGGAAGTTTGACAGCCAAAACATGTATAGAAATAATAAATGTCTTCTTCATACATTCTCCTGCAATGCCCTGGTCCTGTAGAATGAACCCTGGCATTTTTACTGTGATTGCCTGTTTTTCTGTAAAATCATAGAAAAAGAGAGATGCTTGGGTCGAGCAGGCTGCTTCATGCGCGTTCACGCTCAGGCATGGCCCTCCGAACCGTTCTTTGAACGTTGTTTCAGCTGTCATCAAGAATATAAATGTTACAGATAGATGACATCACTGGTGGTTTAGCTCGTCTAGTAAGACTTCGGGCTTTCGTGCAGAAGACCTGGGTTTGATTCTGGATGTGAACATAGTTCATTTAGAGTTTCTTTTTTACATTAATGGTATATTTTTTTTACAGTAATAAGATGCCCAAATTTGTATTTGAGACTCGCCGAACGACATTGAATTCACAGATAAAAAAGATGCGGGTTCAACTTTCATTTTGGAACAATTTTTCAAGCAAGGGAAGGGAATGATCTGAGCATGCAGGAGGACTGACCCATCATAAGCCTTTGTCGGCTGTGCTGAAGAGAAAGGTACAAAACCAAATTATTTAATTAATTAGCTACGTGTTCTCCTGTCCTCCGGGCCACCCACACACACACACAAGGGACTGTCTCAGCTGTTATTTTCGTTAAGGGGTGTGCACGTACAGCATGCGTGCCTCGTGCACGAGCCTCCTATTGAAGCTGCCATTACGCTTTTGGCCTGAGGGGGCAATCACGAGCATAAAAATTCAAAACTCCGTAAAGTCCCTTTAATAAATGCTGAGCATTGCTCTTAAAGGTGTGGGACACTCATCACATTTGTGGTGGTCTCTAGTAGAAATGAATGCCTTGCAAGTCATTCTCTGGGTAGTGTGGGGGGCTCAGGAACTAGCACAATGCCACATCAGAGAAGAGCTTAACGCAACAGGATTTAGAATCTTATTTCCTGATATCTGGATGTCTCATCTGATTGGCTAACAGCAACACGACTCTACCACCGACTCTGTTTGCTCTGCAGCGTTGATGTTTTATCTTGACAAATAACACAAGTCTGGAGTTCTGCTGTGTGGTGGAGTTGCTAATGCTAACAGTTAGCTTCTACTAGCTTAGACGTTCTCTGCTGTTTCCTGGATGCTAAACGAACAACAGTCTTCCCCGTCATGAGTCAAGATGGTGAGTCTATGAATGTTAGTGACAGTGTGACGTAGATCTGTCAGGCTTTTCTAATCCTAGAGTTTCACCGTCTGTTTTCTATCAGAAGCTAATGCAGGAGATAGGTGTAGGAGACTATTTTCATGTTCAGCCTGCATGAAACACTCAGTGTTACCCATCATTAAAAATGTTTTTTCAGTGTTCCACACCTTTAAGCATCTCTAGACCCACCTGTAGGTGGGCAGGTGTTCAATAACACATCAAACCACCATTAATTAAAGCTCAATTTAATATTTGTCTTTCATATAAAGATGACCGATATGAGTCCGGTGTTTATAAGCTGCAGGTATTATCATTATTCCTATTTTTACCTCCTAGGGTTTAGATGGTCCTACAGGTGAGAAGGGCTCTAAAGGGTCTTCTGGCCCAATCGGATCACCCGGCCTAATGGTACGCCCCTCCGGCTGCATGGGGTGGCCTGTTGTGTGAAGAAAGATTGGAAATTTTGTTGTGACTGATCACTGATCAGCTGTCTCATTGTCACAGGGTCCTAAAGGTGAACCAGGGGATGGGGGACGAGCAGAAATGGTACGGACCTGTCACAAACCTTCACGTTGACCCATAGAACATGTTTGATGTTTGTTTGTTTGTTTCTGTTTGTAGATCTACGGTCCTCCTGGACCTCCAGGGCCTCCAGGACCTGTTGGACCAGTCGTAAGTCCAAAACACCGTTCAAATATCAATATTCTGACTTTTATTAAAACAATCCCAGAGCTAAGTCAACAAATGGAATTATAACCTGTGTAACACTTTCTTCAGACCTGGAGGCAAACATTTAAAGACCTTCCAGGGGCCAAAAGGTCTCATGATTAAGCTTTAGGACCCCAAAAATACCTTAAAGAAACATTTAATGTCGTTAAAACAGCCTTTTATCAAATAATAAAATCAGTTGGATTAAATCTGCTATGAAACCACGCTCTGCAGCTCTGGATTCACTCAAGCGTTTGGATCTTAATCTTCTCTCCTTTATTCCAGACGTTCCACTTCCCTCATCAGATCAATAGTTTAAACAAAAATCATTCCATGGTTTCATTTCCTTCCATCAGTGTTTCCGGTTCCACCTACAGAAAACGCCTGGCTCTGCAGTTTCCCAGTTCGGTTGAAAAAATAAAAAACTCAAAAATCAACATCACAATGAGATCAATCTCTCATCAGGTTGGAAGCTCCGGGTTTGGATGAGAAGATCTGGATGTAACCAGATGAGATCAGAGACAATAAGACCGTTTAGGTCACAAAAGGTTTTAGCAAGAAAATCAGACATTCAGGTGTTGGTTATGCATTTGGTTGTGGTCCGTACGGATGTTAGGCCCAACCTCCTGTGATGCGTTTAGGGAAATACCAAAGGAAGAAGACTGAACTCTGTTGGATTGTGTCGACATCAGAGAGAGAAGAGGAAAACAAAAACTTGACAGCTGATTTTTAACGCTTGTGCTTCTGTTCATCCACCTTTAATAACACATCCTGAATAAGGATAAAACTATAATACTGACTTTATTGACTTGAGCTCCCGCTAATCACTCTGTTCTTGTTCCATCTAGGGATCTCAAGGAGCTTCTGGGCCGAAGGTGAGACTCTGCCATTGAAACACTGAAGTTTGGGCCGTCTTTAGGAAATCTGAAGGTCAGCATTCTGTTTTGATGTTTTCCAGGGAGAACCGGGAATCGGGATGAAAGGAGAGAAGGGAGCGTCGGGTCACAAAGGTGATAAAGGAGACCGAGGTCATCTTGGACTTCCTGTAAGTTCCTGATTTCCGTTCAGTTACAAACTCATACAAAAATAATTTCTAAAAATGTTCTGGTTTGATCCTAAAGTTGGGAATTGAACTCACTCTTCTGTTGATTAATTATTTCAAAGCTACTTTAAATTATTAAATGTTATTTTAAGCTTTACATTTTTTTTCAAGTTTTTAGAAAATATTTTAGATTACAGAGCTTTGATAGCTGAGCAGCAGCTTACCACTGCACTCTGAGGGCCGACTTCCTGGTTACAGACTTCCTGGTTATGGACTTCCTGGTTACAGACTTCCTGGTAGTAGACTTCCTGGTTACAGACTTCCTGGTAGTAGACTTCCTGGTTATAGACTTCCTGGTTGTAGACTTCCTGGTTACAGACTTCCTTGTAATAGGTTCAGTCTCAATACTCGCACTTCCACCCTTGCACGCTTCAATTGCGCCATCCCGACTAGGGGGTGTGAGCGCATAGTGTTCTGATTCTTAAGTGCGGAAATTGATCACCCCCCTTTTGCATCCTTGATCCGCACTTCACCCAAGTCTGCAGCAATGCGGACTTGGGTGAAGGGGATTACCCACAATCCATCTGTGCAGGAGAAAAGGCTCAAGTTCCTTTTCTGAAAATGTGTATTTTCTAATGAAATTGGTTGATTTTAGGACGATTAGTTGTAGTGATGTCCCAATACGATACTGATATCAATCAGATGTGATATCAGCACAGCTCATACGTGTACCTATTTTATAGTGTGGAATGTATGAAAGGCTTGATCAAGTGATATTACTCAATTGGAGAACAAGAGCCAATAACAGTAATTATGGAAAAACAAATGGCATTTTTTTCTTAACCAGTGGTTGCAAAAATGGAGACCTTAATGGTCTGCTTATATCGGCGATTTTTGCTGCCTCCGATATAATCTGATACGCTGTTTTTGGGCCGATATCGAATAACTTCCGATATTGAAATTGGACATCCCTAATTAGTTGATGCTCTAAAACTTTAAGACAAAGCAGCAATAAATATAAATGTATTTCAAATAACTGCTTGGCTGTTTGTTTAAAAGTTGTTAATAAAGGTTTTTGAAAAAAGTCTCACAGCGGCCAGCATCTCGGCATGCGTTGCGATCGATGACGTCTCCCCGTCTCAATTCTGCAATTATTTGCACACTTGTGTACTACACACTCGAAGCCTTACAGCACACTTTCTCCAAGTGCACTTTGCTGAAGTCCGCAGTGTGAGTATTGAGATTGGGCCGTAGACTTCCTTGTTATTGACGTCCTGGTTCCAGACCTCACACTAGGCCCCCTGTACATTGTGGCCAATGATCTGAGCAGCAGAGGTAACGAGTGTACGAGTATTTAGCTCAGAGAGGTTGTGTGGACCAAGACCGTTTAAAGGCCTAAAACTCTTAAGACATTTCTGCTATAGTTCAGAAACATGTTGAGTATTTTAATGATAAAAAACACATTGTTGATGTGTTTTTGATGAAGTTTTGTTGTTAGAAACAGACGAGTTAATCATCTGTCCAGCGAGTCGTAGATGCAGCGGTTACCTGCTGCTGAAGCGTTGGATCTCCTGAGACCCAGATATGACTGCTGTCCCTGATGAGTGGCGTTAGGTTTATCATTAGCATGTTTAGATGATGTTCTCTCTGTTTCGGCATTTTTAGATGCTTTATTGTAAGAACATCCAACAGTCAGCGTGTCGAACTTCTTCTTTGACCACTTCCTGTTACTCACTAGCTCCACCTCCACCACCCTGCATTTGTCATCATGTGAATGTGTTGTTAAATTCACTGGAGTCACAGCTTCACTCACCCCCCACCCCACCCCACCCCCCCTTTCCTCACCCTCCCTCCCACCCTCTCCATCATCTCTGCTCTCTAACTGTACAACACTGTCCAGGGGGCTCATGGGTTAGACGGCAGACCCGGTCCAGTGGTGAGTGGTTCCAGTCCCCTAACTCCCTCCTCCTCCTCCTCCTCCTCCTCCTCCTCCTCCTCCTTCCTGTCACCTCCCATGCCTTGCTTCATGTTTGCTATGTCTGCTTGTCCCGTCTGCTTTTTATTTTTTCTTTTGTCTTTTTTTCCCAAATCAAGACGATTAGTGAGGACAGAACCGTCGAGGGTTCTGTTGGACAAAAACAGAACCTGAAGATTTTCTAAATCTACTTCATGTTCCTTCACTGGGTTCCAGTTAAACTACCAGCTGTTCTTTATACCAACAAATACACATAATACCTCCACAAACCTTCAAAAACAAACAATAAAACTTTATTCAGGCAACAAATGTCTAGTAGGATTTTACTAGTGCTTCAGATCGATAATCAGATGTTTGCAGAGTATATCCTCCCATTGTATTAATCCTAATTAAACCATCCCAGAGTGGTGGTGGTGTTTATGGTTATTAAGTTAAAACCACCTGTTTAATTAGCGATTTGCAGCCTTTTATGGTTGAAGCTGAGGTAAACCTGACGCTCACACGATTAGCTGGTTTGGTTTGAATTTCGATCTAAATAATTAAAACAGCTTAAAAATAAAAGATTAAAGGAATATTTCTGTTTGAATTTAATACAAGTCACTAAAATAACTAATTTAGAAGAAACTTAAAACCTAAACGCAACATGTTACACAAACATGTGAAAATTGTTTTCCTATTTTCAGATAAGAATGTCTCCTAAATATCCTTCTAGTGTTCTACAGCCCCCCAAGGCACTGTACAACACAGTCACTCACCCATTCATAGTGATGGACGCGAGTGCCACCAGTCCCTCCACCCACCAGCAGGCAAGGCGGGTTAATTCAATTCAATTCTATTTATAAAGCGCCAAATCACGACAAGAGTCGTCTCAAGGCACTTCACATAATAAACATTCCAATTCAGGTCAGTTCATTAAGCCAATCAGAAAAAATGTTTCCTATATAAGGAACCCAGCAAATTGCATCAAGTCACTGACTAGTGTCAGTGACTTTACAGCAATCCTCATACTAAGCAAGCATATAGCGACAAGGGAGAGGAAAACTCCCTTTTAACAGGAAGAAACCTCCAGAGAATCCTGGCTCAGTATAAGCAGCCATCCTCCACGACTCACTGGGGATCGAGAAGACAGAACAGACACACACACACACACACACACACACACACCAAGCAATGTGTCCATGGTTACACTGTGATTGCTTAGTAAATATTCTATTTGGCGAGAGATAAACTTTATTTTATTTATCCTAGTGAATCTATTGTTAAATGGGTAAACTAGCAGTAGCACATCCAACGTCAAGGAAACAAAAAGTTATTATCAGGAGAGGGAGAAAGTTTAAGTGGTTAGTAGCAGTGTGCTAGTCGATGGCCCCCTCCACGAGGTTACCACAGCTCACCAGAACATCACCGTAGCTTCCTCTGGGGAGAAAAACACTTAGAGAAAAAATAAAGTTAATAGCTGAAGTAGCAGGAAATAATACAGTTAAAGAGCAGATTGGAGAAGAAAGTAGTAGAGTGTGAAAAGGGGTCTGTGTGTCCTCCAGCAGTCTAAGCCTATAGCAGCATAACTACAGAGATAACTCTGGATAACCTAGCCTTTTTAGATGGAGGCATGTTGGAGGCAGGGCAAGGGAGAGCCGCCGTTACCGACTGTACACTCCACCTCCCTCTACTCCCCTACTTGTCCAGATCTAGGCTAACATCAGATTTTGACCATAAGCCCTATCAAATAAAACTGTTTTGAGCCTATTCTTAAAAGTACACAAAGTGTCTGCCTCACGGACTAACACTGGGAGCTGGTTCCACAGGAGAGGAGCCTGATAACTAAAAGATCTGTTTCCCATCCTAATTTTAGATATTCTGGGAACCACCAGTAAACCTGCAGTCTGAGAGCGAAGTGCTCGGTTAGGAACAGATGGAACAATCAGATCACTGATGTATGATGGAGCTTAATTATTAAGAGCTTTATATGTGAGAAGAAGGATCTTAAAATCTATTCTGAATTTAACAGGCAGCCAATGTAGGGAAGCTAAGACAGGAGAGATATGATCTCTCTTTTTAATTCTCATCAGAACTCTAGCTGCAGCATTTTGGACAAGCTGAAGACTTTTAACTACATTCTGTGGACTTCCTGAGAGTAATGAATTACAGTAATCCAGTCTTGATGTAATAAATGCATGAACTAGTTTTTCAGCATCACTCCTGGAAAGGATGCTTCTAATCTTAGCAATATTCCGAAGGTGGAAAAAGGAAATCCTACAAACATTATTAACCTGGGATTTGAATGACATGTCCTGGTCGAAGATAACACCAAGGTTCCTTACTTTGTTCTCGAGACTAATTTCAGGTCAGGTGATTGACTAAGCAATTTCCTTTTTCTGGATTTCTGGTCCAAAGATGAGAACTTCCGTCTTGTCTTCATTTAAAAGCAAAAAGTTTAGAGTCATCCAATTTTTTTATGTCCTCAAGACAAGCCTGTAATCTACCTAACCGATTAGGTTCATCAGGGTTAATGGATAAATATAACTGAGTATCGTCAGCATAACAGTGGAAGTTTATCCCATGCTGTCTAATGATTTTACCAATTGGGAGCATATATATAGTAAAAAGAATTGGTCCAAGCACTGAACCTTGTGGTACTCCACAAGTAACCCTGGAGTATGAAGAAGATTTGTCATGTACATTTACAAAATTAAATCTATCAGACAGGTAGGATTTAAACCAGCCTAGCGCTGTTCCTTTGATCCCTACAACATGTTCAAGCCTTTCTACAAAAACATTGTGATCAACTGTGTCAAAAGCAGCACTGAGATCTAACAAGACTAGAACAGACACAAGATTCATATCTGAGGCCATGAGAATATCTTTTGTAACTCTCACTAATGCAGTTTCAGTGCTGTGATACTCTCTTAAACCATACTGAAATTCCTCAAACAGAGCATTAGTGTTTAAATGCTCACATACTTGGATGGCCACTATTTTCTCCAGGACTTTGGATAAAAATGGAATGTTAGATATTGGTCTAAAATTCATTGGGTCATCTGGATCCATAGAAGGCTTCTTAAGTAAAGGTTTGATTACAGCAACCTTAAATTCCTGTGGTACGTATCCATTTACTACGGATAGATTGATTATATATAGAATGGGGACAGTAACCAAAGGAAATGCATCTTTGAATAATTTGGTTGGGATTGGATCCAAAATGCAAGTTGAAGGTTTAGATGAAGCTAATATTTTTGATAACTCTGAAAGCTCAACTGGATCAAAACGGTTCAAACACAGATGAGGTTCTACAGTCACCTCTGATGCTGCCTCACTTACTGAGGAAGAAGAAATTGCATTAGGGAGGATGCTAATGATTTTGTTTCTAATAGAATTAATTTTACTTGTGAAAAATCTCATAAAGTCATTACTGCTGAGGGCTAAGAGAATAGATTGTTCAGAGCTATGATTCTGTGTAAGTTTGGCAACATATTCTTGCTTTAAGTGGTTAATTAAAACTAAACTACTAGTAATTAGGTATGAACAACATCTGACTTTAGAATGGGGAACATGTTCTTGCTTACAAGTGGTTAATTGATTGTTGTTTAGGCTCTATTAACATGTGGAGTTTGGTGTTTATTTACATACCAGAACATAATATTTTTGGTTATTAATGCAGAATAACTGTTCCCCTTGAATTACTTCTTTAAAAGCCACATATTAATTTGAGATAATTAGCATGTGTGTTAATCAGCAACAAACCATTTATTTTCAGTTAACGAACCATTATGAATGGCTTATTTTGATAAAACTCTTAATTTATGGGCTGTTATGTTAGAATAACAGCATTAGTAATAAGCTGTTAATAAGTGCTTAATAATGACTAGTTCAGAATTAGTAGTCCACTAATATGCATATTAATTGGCAGCTAATGAATGGTTAAATTGTGTTCCCTAAACTAAAGTGTTGCTGATTTTTCCAACTCAGTCGCTTAGATTTAACGCTCGACCTCATCCACCTAAACGATCAGTAATGACCTTTGATGTAAACAAAGTGGGATTTTACTTTGCTCCTGTGTTCAGTCCTGCCAGATCTCTTTCCTCTTTCCTGGTTCTGCTGATTCTGGACCAGCAGCAGAATGGAAAACTCACAGCTGCATGACTTCTCCTCCAAATGCCTGAAGATCCAAGATCTTTTCTCCAATCCTGATCTCTGCCTTCTCAAACCAAAACCACAACTATTCACTCTCTTTTCATTCTGCTTCATTTTTACTTGCTAGTAGCTCAACAAGCTTTATTATTATCTGATTGGTCTAAAACATAAATGTTAGTGTTCAGTATGAAGCTTGTTGATTTACTGATTTGATCTTTTTCATGATTATTTTTCTATTAGACTCATTTATTATTCTCAGGTATTTATGTGTCTTTCCTGGTTTTTAGGGTCTAATAGGACCAGCAGGTGTACCCGGGCCCGCCGGACCAAAAGGAGAGAGGGTCAGCAACTGTTTTATAAAAGTTTTACATTTTGAAATAGAAGTTAGATTATTATATTTGTGTGATTGGATTTGTTGCTACAGGGTGAAAAGGGTGATGCAGGACTACCAGGACCAATCGGGCCACAGGGCATCCCTGTAAGTCTGAATCTGTGCATGCGTTGAACAGCATTTACAGCCGGAGTGACCATTACATTAAATGTGTTAAGGTTTGGACAGCTAACCAAAAGTTTATTGATTATTTTTAACTGTGTAGGGTCGATCATAATGTAAAAAGCTGTTCCAGCTAGCTAGATTTTCAGGAAAAACTATCAAAAGGCCCAACCCCCTTTGTTGAGGCACCGCACCCAAAGTCACACCTCCAGAATACAAGAGAACATGAGACACGACGGATTCTTTCCATCGACCACAAAACATTACATTATCTCACTTGTTGCTTGCACCTTTCCTGCTATAATCCCTAGCCTAGCGCACCTCCAGGTTTCTGACGGACTCCGGTCCAAAACTCTCCTGACTGAAAGTTTGAGAGAAGTCAGTGGGACCTAGACCAGAGATCCAGCAGGGAGAACTGAGCTTATTACGTTAGAAACTCACTCCACTACTTTCACTCAAGCTACGTAACCATATAACACTTAAGTGTGCTAGCTAATGCAGCTGACCTGGCTCGAGTTTCACTTCCTGTTCAGCTGCTCCTAAAAAGAGATTGGTGCACAAACAGGGTAATGTGCAGAGGGGGGAGGGGCGGTCCGAGGGCAGTTTGATGGATCTGTATTTAATCATTAAGAATGGGACGTTTTCCTATACAAATGTGTGTCAGAGCAATTACATTTATTCATTTTTATGAGGTTGTCATCAATCTTTGAAGAGCTTTTCAAGCATTGTGACAAAAATGCTCCAGAAATGCATGTTTATAGGCTACACTGTAAAAAGAATAACCTCACTTAAATAAATAAAAGAAATGAAAATATTTGATTATGCAGAAACTAAATGCATTCACTTAATATGACCTGATATTTCTCTGTTGATGTAAACCATGTTACTCCACTTGACCAAGCCTTCATTCTTTGACTTGATCCAAATAAATTTCTTAACATAGCACATTTTAACTATTGAACCAACTTAATGTATTTACATTCAACCAAATTAACATGACTTAACATGGTTGTGTGGACACCCGCTAATTAACTTGCATATCATCTACCTATAATGTTACAGCAGCGACAGTAGCAGCTAACTCATGTCTCAAACACCTGCTAACAGCACTAAACACATGGAGCTGATTCCAGAAGTCTGAGTGTAAAACCCCACCTGATATAGAAGAGCAGAATGGCACAGCGGTGTCATTCCTCTGACTGACAGGTGTTAAAACATGAAGGAGGGGGTTACATAAGAAACACGATAGTGGGTTTCTTAGGTGTGTTCTTGCTGTGTCGTATTTCTAATTCCATGCTGTAGTTCATTTTTAAAACACAGAACAGTTTTGTTACCTGTTTTCCCGCATGGGGGAAAACAGGTAACAAAACTGTTCTGTGTTTTAAAAATGAACTACAGCATGGAATGATAGTGGGTTTAAAATGGGTCTAATTGTTATAAAAGGTTCTAAAAGCAAGTGCAAACAGATGAAAAGCATTATTAAAATAATGCCAAACAAAAACTAAACTCTCAAAAAGGTTCAAACTTTGTTAAAGGTTTTACCAAAACTGAAGGTGTTTAAGGCCAAAGTCAATCAAATTGCATCAAACCAAGTTAACCTTTAAACAATATCAAAAGATTCATCTGGATCATCTAAGAGCTTTAAGAACTCTGTTAAATTCATCAAAACGAAGGCGTTGAAACCAAACTCTGAGGCCTGGAGGACAGCAGAACCTTCCACTGCTGCCTCCCAGACTGCTGTAAGCTCCGCCTTTTTATCCCAGGTGTGGGTCATCAGCAGGATTCAGCTCAGCTGTGCTCCTCAGCAGCCTGGAGGAGAGGAGGGTCGGTGTATAGCTGATCACCGGGTCTGGGTGATCCTGACTTCTGCATCCAAATGGCCAGGCTGGTGGCCATGACAGACGTCCTCACTTACGGTGCCAACATGTCGTATCAAGTAACGGCACATTTGCAACAGCGAATGAAGTAATAACTGAGGACAACACAGCCCCCTCAAAATAAACATCTATTTGTACACCCCCAAATAGAAGAAAATAATTAAGAGCGTGATTACCCACAATGCACCTCACCCACTGCTGCTCCCACGGGTGCTCAGGTGCAAATCTCATTAGACTCAAATTAGAAACATTATCTGCTGAACATGAACAGAAATGTACGCTTTGAGTTGATGTAAATGGATGTTTAGTTCAAATCAAAAGTGATGATTTAAAATGCAAAAAGAAAAAGTTTCACAATTAAATCTATTTTCTTTATTCTGTTCTAAATAGAAGTAATTAGACTGAATAAAAAGCTGCATGTTGGACTTTTTTGAGTGTATGTTATTATTGCTGGGCTGCGCAGTGGTGCAGTGGTTAGAGCTGTTGCCTTGCAGCAAGAAGGTCCTGGGTTCGATTCCCGGCCTGGGATCTTTCTGCATGGAGTTTGCATGTTCTCCCTGTGCTTGAGTGGGTTATCTCCGGGTTCTCCGGCTTCCTCCCACAGTCCAAAAACATGACTGTTAGGTTGATTGGTCTGTCTAAATTGTCCATAGGTGTGTGTGTGTGTGTGTGTGTGTGTGTGTGTGTGTGTGTGTGTGTGTGTGTGTGTGTGTGTGTGTGATTGTTTGTTCTGTGTGTCTCTGTGTTGCCCTGCGATGGACTGGCTCTCTGTCCAGGGTGTACCCCGGCTGATTGCCCATTGACTGCTGGAGATAGGCACCAGCCCCCCCTGCGACCCTACGTGGACAAGCGGGTTCAGACAAAAAAATCTGACTTAAAAAGCAGTTTCATGTTATAAAGATGTTATTTTTTAAGTCATCATATTGGATTTTAAAGTTTTTAGTCTAAATTTGGTCAAATTTTCTAATCAAACCAACACAGTTTTGTTGTCATTCTTTAAATAAGATGATTTAAAAATGTTGGAAATCTGATTTGTCCTAAACAGAAACTGAGATCCTAAAGCTGTTTGTATTATTTCTCTTTCCAGGGTTTAGTGGGACCACAAGGCTTTAAAGGAAATCGGGTAAGAACCCACCAGCATGGATTTAGCTATGATGATAGTGGTAGAAGCAGGATCTCCATGTGGCATGTGAACATTTATCATATATCTATAGTTGTGCAGCCCATCGATGGTGGATGCCGCTCCCACATGCTAGCTTACAGTTTAAAGAGCTGCAAATGAATAAAACAAATGTTTACTCTGAAATTATGCATGATTATGAATCATATTAAGATGTCTTTGCCTTTCTGAGGCAAATCACTTGTTTTGCAGTGGCTTTGTTTTAAATCTGATGATAAACTTAGTGATCCATACGGTCAAACCTCCAGAACCAAACTTTGTGTTCGGTTTAAACTTGAAATAAAACAGCCCTGCAAAATAATCCCAGGGTTCTTCCATGTTGTCGTCTATCCGATAATCACACCCTTCCTTGAAGAATGTTCTCCATTTCCATCTCATTAACCATTTTCCCTCCCATCTTGTTTCGTGAGTGCTCTCAGCACGTTCAACTGGCTTTGATCTGAGCTCGATACGAGCTGGAGCCTGTTGAAGCTGTGAGATGGAGTTGCTGTTTTTACTCTTTCCTGTCTTCCTTTGTTTCCGCAGGTCTTCCTATCCCCTTTTCCCTCCCTTCACCTTGTTCTGTGGCCTGTGGCTGTTTTTGCAGCGGTTGCCCTCTCTCCCTGCTGCTGTTCCTCCTCCTGCATTCTAATGTAGTCCTGGTTTAATCTTCCTCCCTTCGCTCCCTCTCTAACACGACTACCTTGATAATCCCTCCTACCCCTGTACCTTTACACCTACGTCAGGTCATGTTATTATTCTCCTCTCTTACATGTAATCTCTGTTTTCTTCATCAGAACCAAGCAGCTTCTGGTCTTAATGAGCAGCTGTCCTTTTACTATTGTCCATTTCTGCTAACTAGCGATTCAGTTAGCGGAACAAGCACTTCCCACCTCCGCTTTACTCCAAGTGTAGCAGAAAAAGAAGCTTATCTTATTCTTTGTGGATTCTGAATCTGAACATGAGAAGCAGGAATTAAACTGCTATAATCCACTTTATGCTGGACATGACAGAGGCTTCCTATAGCCTCCCCTGTGTGACTCGAACAGAATTTACACACCCTTAACACATTTTTTTAGTTTTAGAGGACACCCACTAGAGGTTTGATAAAACAAAAACATTGCTGGCACACATTTGTCTTTTATGGTCTTTGGCTTCAGTTTTGATTAAATATTGATCTGTCGCTCACTCGCATGATGTTTTTCTAGTGCTAAATAAAGTCAGACAGATGATTCACTGTGGTGATCCCTGAAGGGGAAAGCCCAAAGAGAAATAAAAATAAATGAAACTAACAATTCATTCAGTCAGACTGACGGAGTTCAGGGTGAAATCCCTGACCCGTCTCTCTCCCAGCTCGTCCTGGGCGCCTCACCAGGGAGGACAGAAATGAGCTTTGGGTTCTCTCAGTTACTAGAAAATCCCCAGAGGAAGAAAACCTCCTCAGCTAACTCCTGTTGATGATGAGGAGCATCGGCTCTTCCTGAATGTCCTCTACGACTGAGACCACCCATGGAGGAAGGATCTGGGGCTCAAAACTCATGACCCCATACAGGGGAGAGCTGAATCATAGATGCATCAGTGTTTTCCAGCTCAGCTCCTGAAAAATGGCAGATCAGAGCAACTACCTCATTACTACAGACAAAGCCCTGGTCTGTAGGTCCAGCTCTCCCTTCTTCCTGTCGTCACTCACATGTTTGGTCCCTTCTGCATGAAGCAAAGACTCCCTCTCAACTAAAAGATAGCAGCCCTCTGTATTCATGTTAAAAATGATGAAGAGGAGCTGATTTTCCCCACTTCTTCTCACTTGTCTAAAACCCAGACCATGGATTGAACATAATCTGCAGAGAACTGACATGAAACCCTAAGTTTCCCAAACCAGTCATCATCTTCTCCATGACCTCACTTTGAGATCCATCAGCCTCACAGATGGCATTAGAAAGAGGAAACACACGCTGGGATTAAATTCAACTGGTCCAAGAATGTTCACATAGCTGTTGCCTCAGTTGTACCAGACAGCCCTTAAAACTGACCCTGAGTCTCCACATCTGTGCAGCAAAATACTTAGTCATTGTGATGGACACCACCATGAAGGACTTAGTCAGTGTGATGGACACCACCATGGAGGACTTGTTCAGTGTGATGGACACTACCATGAAGGACTTGTTCAGTGTGATGGACACCACCATGGAGGACTTGTTCAGTGTGATGGACACCACCATGAAGGACTTGGCCAACGTCATGGACACCACCATGGAGGACTTGTTCAGTGTGATGGACACCACCATGAAGGACTTGGCCAATGTCATGGACACCACCATGAGGGACTTGTTCAGTGTGATGGACACCAACCACCATGAAGGACTTGGTCAATGTGATGGACACCTAGCCTAGTGAACTAGACCAAATTCTTGCTTTGCAAAGTTTGGTCTAGGCATGCTCCATTGGAACCTCAGCAGCTCCTACCAGGATTCTGGCTAGCCAATCACAACTCTCTAGAGGGGTTTCAAACACATAAAGAGCTGTGATTGGTCCATAATGGTGGGCCAATCATAGTGCTCTATCTGCTTAGTGAACAAATCACAGAGCTTTATCCGCTTTGTGGGCCAATCAGGGCACTCTATATGCCTGGTGGGTGGGATGATGCAACTTTGTGAAACACGAGTATGTCACATTCATTGTCCAGTGGAATGTGGAGATCATTTGAAAGACAACGGTAGAACCCGCCCCACAACCGAGAGCCGTCAATGGAGCATGGCCAGACTAAATAATACATTTATTTAGTCTGGCTTGCCAGGCTAATGGACACCAACCACTATGGAGGACTTGGTCATTGTGATGGACACCACCATGAAGGACTTGGTCATTGAGATAGACACACCACCATGAAGGACTTGGCCAATGTGATGGACGCCACCATGAAGGACTTGTTCAGTGTGATGGACACCAACCACCATGGAGGACTTGGTCATTGTGATGGACACCACCATGAAGGACTTGGTCATTGTGATGGACACCACCATGAAGGACTTGGCCAGTGTGATGGACGCCACCATGAAGGACTTGTTCATTGTGATGGACACCGCCATGGAGGACTTGGTCATTGTGATGGATATCACCATGAAGGACTTGGTCATTGAGATAGACACACCACCATGAAGGACTTGGCCAATGTGATGGATGCCACCATGAGGGACTTGTTCAGTGTGATGGACACCAACCACCGTGAAAGACTTGGTCAATGTGATGGACACCAACCACTATGGAGGACTTGGTCATTGTGATGGATGCCACCATGAAGGACTTGTTCAGTGTGATGGACACCAACCACCATGGAGGACTTGGTCAATGTGATGGACACCATCCACTATGGAGGACTTGGTCATTGTGATGGACACACCACCTTGAAGGACTTGGTCAATGTGATGGACGCCACCATGAAGGACTTGTTCAGTGTGATGGACGCCAACCACCATGGAGGACTTGGTCAATGTGATGGACGCCACCATGAAGGACTTGTTCAGTGTGATGGACGCCAACCACCATGGAGGACTTGGTCAATGTGATGGACGCCACCATGAAGGACTTGTTCAGTGTGATGGACACCAACCACCATGGAGGACTTGGTCAATGTGATGGACACCATCCACTATGGAGGACTTGGTCATTGAGATAGACACACCACCTTGAAGGACTTGGTCAATGTGATGGACGCCACCATGAAGGACTTGTTCAGTGTGATGGACGCCAACCACCATGGAGGACTTGGTCAATGTGATGGACACCACCTTGAAGGACTTGGTCAATGTGATGGACAACACTGTGGAGAACTTGGAAGCAAGAAAAGCCTACATAAAAAAGCATGGTGGCATATTTATATTTATTTCATCAGAAATTATGTGAGCATCTTTTATGCCCTAATCCCAGATGATGCTGAGATTATTCTGCCTCCTTTAAATGATCCAAAACACATACACATACATTTAGCTGTGATTCATGGTTTGCCTAGGAATAACCCTCATCACGTTATTTACGTGAATTTTATTGGGATTAAGTCAGATTGTTATTAAGGGTTATAGCTGTAATTCCACCATGTCCAGGGTTTAGTAACAAACTGCTCAGTAGATAAGTGATGGTTTTGACCTCTCCACTCTAACTCCCTCTACTCACACCTCTTCTTTACTAAAACTGATGTTCAAATCAATATTTTCTTGAACATAAAATGCAAAACAAATTAGTAATTCATTAGATTATTACTTCTCAAATTGTCTAAATTAAACCTACAGATATGTTTGCTTTTGTGTGGCTTAATGAGGAGGATCACCGTTTTTCTCAATACGCTGTTGTTTGCAGGGAGAGAGGGGCAAGAAAGGCGGCAGGGGGGCCAAAGGGGATAAGGGAGACCAAGGAGCACCTGGATTAGATGCCCCCTGTCCGTTGGTATGTCCGTGGTTCCATGTGGACAAACAAGAGACAAAGGGAAGGAGCACTTTTCCCTTCATCTCTTGTGTTTATTCTAAGCCTCAGGATGAGCTGTGGTCCGGTTTTACATCGATGAGTCAAAAGTACAATACTGCTGAACACCGATCAGATCGACGGTGTTTCTGGACCTCAGACCACAGCTCTGACTGAGGACTCTTCCTTCTTTTCAGGATAAAAGACAAACAGGAACCAAACAGCTACTGATGACAGAAGTCTGCTCTCTCTATTTAATTATTTTATTGAGCAAAATAAAAATTTATCCTATAAACCATCTAATGACATATTTAGAGTTCGTCTGAAAATCAGCCGCAGCACTACTGAATGAATGATTTGTCACTGCGGTGAGCTGAGTTCCTGTCTGTCCCAGGTTGTCTCTGCATGTGGAGACAACCTGCAACCAGTCCCACCGAGGAGAGAAGAGGAGCTCCTCCTGTCGTCCTGCAGGAGCAGCAGGAGCAGATTTTAAATGGTTGATTTTATAAACAGGGTTTCCGAGGCTTTAAGGGGGAGAAAGGTGAACCGGGCTTGCCGGGCCTGGATGGGCTGGATGCCCCTTGCCCTGTGGTACGGTGCTTTTTCTTTCCTTCCATCTTCCCAGCATGTCTGTTCTGTCTTTAACACAAAACGAAACATGCATGTGTGCATGAGACTTCTAATTACTGAAACTGATCTTTTTCCACCTGCTCTGTTGAAAATATAATTCAGACCTTTTGTCTGAAGATAAAAAACATTTAGATGAAGTCAGTTAATCACTAAAAATGTCTTTACTAAATCATATTTAATTTAAATCTTTTACTAATTTTTAACCAGAATTAATCAAACTCAGAAAGATTATTATTAGTTTACTCTTACTACATATTTTGCATGAATCATCACCTGTTTCTGCACTCAGGGTTAGGGTTAGGTAATAAAACAGCCAAGCTTTTGGGGGGCCAGACCTGCTGTTTGTGTGGTAACACGTTCTGTTAACTGTAGATTATGCTGCCAAATTCAGTAAAAGCTAAAAAAAGGCTTTGGACATGTTACCCCAACAAAGCCTCGAACACAAATGTTTGTTTTTTTACTTATATTTTTACAACTAACTTTGCCCATTAATTTGAAGACACCTGAGATCTTTCTCACAAGGTGGTGGAGGTCAACTTCACTGAGAAACATGATTACGTCTGATTCTGACAGGTCACTCTTGAGTGTTTCATGCAGGCTGAACATGAAAATAGTCTCCTACATCTATCTTCTGCATTAGCTTCTGATAGAAAACAAATGGTGAAACTCTTGGACTCACCCATCTGGACTCACGACAGGGAAGGCTGTTGTTGGTTTAGTCCAGGAAACAGCAGAGAACATCTCTGCTAGTAGAAGCTTACTGTTAACGGTTAATTGCAGCACTGGCATTTGTAATTCGGCAGAGAAAAAGCTCCCAAGTTGTTTAAAGAACTGAAGCCAGTAAACAGGAGCGACCCAGAAGGTATTTCTTCTGCTTCGTGTGAAGCAGGCTAGAGGCTAATGTTGAGCTAACAATGCTAACGGTGAATTAGAAGCAAATGGTTGGCTCTAAAAATAACTCAAGCTACTTTTTCTATTAGCAACAACTGTGTCTGTGTGGAGCAGGTGTCTCATGCCACAGGTGGGGTGCACGGACTGTTTCGCCTCCGTCCGTTGTCCGTTAGAGAGAGGGAGGTTTCAGCATGAGATATTGGAGGTGTGGCGTGTGAAGAGCATCAGATGTGTGTGTCTCTCGCTCAGTGCTATGACTGCAGCAGGTCCGTGTCAGCAAAGGAAATAAACAATGAGCTGAAGACCAGGGTGTGAGTTAACGAACGCTACGCTGACCTTTTTCATTTGCCAAACGCAAACAGGACCGAAGCGTGTTTAACTCAGCGTTCATTTGGCCACTGGTGGAGTTTACTGGTTTTAAGGACTGGTCAGAACAATAGTAAATTTAATGAAAAAAAGTTTTGGTATTGGCGACCAAAATAGCACATCAGGCCACTGAGCAAATGCCTGGCGGTATGAACAGTGCTAGTCCGGCTGTTGCAGCATCTGGTTGATAGTCTCAATGGATCAACCAGACTCAAAGAAGAGACATCAGCCTTGCTTAAATAAATAACAGCTCTACAATACTTTCTCCATTAAACAGTTTAGTTAATCTTTATAACAAAATTCTAGTGGATTGAGCTTGTCTCGTTTTTCCTTTCCTTTTCCTCCATCAACATTTTGCACCTCAAAAATGCAGCAAAGTTAAACCTCCTCATTAGCTGGTTTAAGATTAATCCCAGATCACTAAACTGGTGTTTAAAGTTCTGACGCAACAGGCTCAAATTTAAACTTGGTTTAGTTCAAAAGTTAAACTGATCTTAAAGAGTAAGTCACCCCCTACCAGAGTATTACTCCACTCCCACTTCCTGTTTGAAAAATGCAACAAATGCTGTTGCCTAGCAGACCGAGAGGGCGGAGCCACTAACAAATTCACACACGCAGACTCACAATGACATTGTGACATCATACGGTACCAGCTAACGTTCTAGGGTACCTCTTAGCCAATAGCGGTGGCTGATTTAAATTCAAATGCAGTGCAGTTTTTACCTGACAACGGCACAACACTGACAGTTTTAGGCAGAACATTAAAATTTTTACTGAAATACACTAAAGTGCAAAACTATTAACTTCACGTGTCTGCAGCACGATTAGACACACATTTTTATAGTTTATCGGAAAAATAAAGTTGGTTTGGGGGTGACTTGCTCTTTAAAGGGGGGGGGGGGGACACCATGAGGATGAACGTAAGTGACGCCACCAACACTGATGATGACTAGAGACATTAGTCGGAACATGTCAGGTAAAAAGCTATTATTTTACTAAACCATGTAAAAAAAGAACAAAGACATGGATTACGAAGATAAACACAGAACAAACGTACAAAAGAAAACACCATGAGTGGAGACTTATTTCAACCAGACTTCCTGTTAGAAAAACACCTGGAAAGAAAAGAGAGTGCGGTGCAGAGGTAATGATTGACGGCACCCCCCTTAACCCACCCACCCCCACCCCCACCCCACGCGCGTGCGCTGGCGGAGTTTCTCAGTCAGAAAAACGAGTTGTTAACGTGCACGAGCACACACAAAGAGCAAACTCACTGCTCAGAAGAGCAGACACAGCAACTGACTGTAGGAAGGAGGATTTCCTGTTCACCACGATCACTCAATCAATCAATCAGTCAATCAATCACTCAATCAATACTTTATTAATCCCAGAGGGAAATTTGAGTTTCAGTACACACAATTCAGAGACCAGACATACATGGGCAAGACACATGACAAGAATTGGTGACTGTGGTCATTCGCAACCCGAGTCGCGCTACCTTAATAGAGGTAAGAGGGTTACTTGAGGATTGGATTCAGGTGGAGGGAAAAAAGGGCACTTCAGAGTTACCCTCCACCAGGAGGGCAGCTTTGCTCTGCAAAAAAACACCTCAACAGATATGCAACAGACTTCAGACAACACAACATAACATGAGACTCCAGTAGGAAGGCGGGGGGTGGGGGGGTGGGGGGGGGATCCTGTTTCCCCCAGCGAGAGCAGCCATCTACAACGCTCATCTACTGTACAGTCACAGGTGGGAGGGAGATCTTGGGAGAAGCGCAGAGTACATTGACTCCTACAGATTGATGACCTTGCCAGGCTGAAGTCCACCAATCGGAAGGCGGGTGGGGGGGGGGGGGGGGGGGGGGGTCAGGTTTTCACAGCATCTGTCTGCATTCCTTTGTGGGGTTTTTAGTTGCTTGCAGCTCAAGGCTACCAGGGCGTCAGATTCAGATAACAAGAATTTGTTTGGGTCAGGCTGAGATAATTTTCCTTTCTGCCTTTAGTCTTTAAACTGATCATTTCCAGTCCTTCAGTGAAGCCAATTTTGGGTTTTTAAACCTGTCCATACCATTCGGTGACTCTCTCCGAGATGACATCCATTTTGTGCACTGATGCCGGTATTGCAGCTAGAACATTGTCCAGCTTACGATTCACCTCGAGTAACGTCCCAGTCTGTGAAGTCTCCACACGGACAGTGCTTTCCATGGGTGCGGGTCGCCCTCCAATCGCTCCCGTCTTCCCAAATTTCCAGAAAACCAGATATCCTCCCACTCCAATCAGGAGAAATCCAGTGATCATCAGACCGAATATCCACACGTCTTCGATGTCCTCAATGGAGAGCTGGGAGAGGCATATGATCTTCCATTCCTTCCAGGAATCCAACATACAATGAAACTTTTGTTACAAAACCATCATTAGAGCCAGGTCTTCATGTCATTTTCTCCTTCAGGAGCTCCGTAGCCAAAGTAAACTTTTTGATTCTTTGTAAGAAATCTAAGTTTCATGATTTTTGCATTAACATTTTAGTTATTTACTGTCGGGTTTCCTCTGGATGAACCCGTCTGCCGCTCTTGATGTGTCGTTCCTTCTCTTGCAGGGCGAAGACGGCTTGCCTGTCCCGGGATGCTGGAATAAAGTAAGCTTGACTCTGTGATGTTTGGCTTATCAGCTGTTGTTTACGTTTGTCCTAACATCACCCCTGACGTGATCGGAGCTAACACCTGATGTGTTTGTTTTCTCCTTGCAGTGACAGTAACCCTGGACTGACTTGTGTGATTGTAAATAGGATATTTATTTTTTTACTTCTCCTGTTACACATTAAAACTATTCCTTTTAAAAACTCCTAAAAAGATATGATGACTTTTTATGTACAGATTGTTTGTTTTAATACGTGATGCTGATGATGTAACGGATCGTTTTTTTTACATCTATGCGTTGTTTTAAAAGGACTGGAAAAGTAAAGATATAAAGGCTCCATATGCATGATATTTGTACATAATGTGGCGTGAATAATACTTATTAACTTATTACATGAAGTTGTTTTGTTCTGATGGACCATGCTGCACTGAGCTGTGGGGCTGGAAAGAAAATGTAATGTTTGCTGTTAAAGCTGTTGTCTGGACTCTCCTCTGACTGATAAAGTGTTAACTAGAAATACACGATATAGATGCTGACCTCATGGACCAGATGCTGAGCTGTTCTATTATTATTATTATTATTATTATTATTATTATTATTATTATTATTATTCAAGCGCTGAAGAATACTCTGAATACTTTTGAGATTATGAATATGATATTGGGGGATGTATAGAATTAAAGTTTTATTTTTTTCCAGTAAAAGAAACAGGAAATAACACCGAAAATCTGTTTCAGATCAGTCAGTGACGCCTGATTTAGTTCACTGTCAGAGAATGAGACAGATAGGTGGGCCGGTACCAGGAGGCCCGTTCCCACTATCAGAACGTCCGGATAATTTTATCATATTTTCCCGGCATTAGTGGACCGGACCATTTCAGGGACCAAACAAGTGTCGTTTTATGGTCTATGTACTTGGAGATGGCCTGGTAGAGTCGCTGAGCAGGGCTTGAGGTTGACTCATGTGGATTGGCTGTTACTCAGTAGGAAATGACATCAGCAGACGTTGTCAAGAAAATAAAAGGGCATTAGTAAATATGTTAAAAAAAACAGAGTTTCCTCCAGTCGTTGAACACCACTTCTCACGTCACACAAATGTTTCCAGGTGGAGGATCGTTCCTGTGCCGGC